ATCTTAGTAACTCAGGTTAAATGGATTGAATTGAGCGCGAGTAAGGAGAGACTAGATACATGAGATTGAGCCTTCTTTTATAACTTCTGTTTTGGTCCTCCATCTCCTTCCTTCCGTCGGTCCCTGTTGGACCTTCTTCTCGTGGTCCATACTGGACCTCCCTTCCACGGTCCTTGTTGGACTCCTCTGCTTATCTTATCAATGGACCTTCCTAAGTCACGTGACCTTGTATGCCTAATCCTGTCAATCTTGCGGGGTAGTGTTTCATCCTGTGTTGCTGTGTTGGACAGCGCTTCGTTCTGTTGGTTCGTAACAGCTAACCCATCGGGACTAGAAACTTCATCTACAATTGTGCTTTGCTGACACTGTTTCTACATGTTAATGGCAGGAGCGACAGTCGAGCCACCAGCCTTGAACCACTGCCTATCCTTCAAATGAGCCTCATCCTTGATTTCGTGCAAGATACCAGTTAGTGCATTGAGGCTGTGGAATTAGCAGGCACCAGATTTTATTGCAAAAATATTGACCACATCCTCGATTTGCAAGGCAGACATCCATGACCTCCTCCAACCCTACATCCGCTATCCGAAAGTGGTGGTATCAGTACATCCAGGTGTCGATCGACAACGTCTGCCTGCTCGGTGTTCATGCTAGTATGCAATTTGGAGCAAACACTGGTCAAAGATGTAGCAGAGAATCGAAACTATGGCGGTGGAAGTGCTGGCACACGCCTGCAAATTTACTGGGAAACACTATTAACTACAATAGTCTCCTGGTTTTGAACTGCCATACATTAGTCGAGGTTTGTTTGGTCTTAAGCGACGGCACGTTCAGCTAGAAGGTAGGCGTGGAAATTAACCCGGGGTATGCAATACCTGCCACCCCGACTTCCCACCATACAGTCTCTTTTTTCCACGGTGCCTTAGATATTTGCATCTGTTTGACAGTGCCAGAGATCGGGTTCGGAGAATTCCTTATTTTAAAATCAATCCCAGCTTGGTAAGTCGAGGCTGCTGATGGTGTCTGGTGTCACATTCGGGATCGATTAATACCGACCACGGGCATGGGATGCATTCCCATCTCTTCGTCCTCATCGTACGTTGTCAATAAGTTATGACGCATAAATCTTAGCATACTATATATGTTACTAGGTCTTGGACGATGTGGAAGTCGCGAACTACACTGGGCAATGTTGTGTCAGGTGCAAAGCTTACTGCGGATGGCGGACATTCACCAGACTCGCTGAAGAGCTCTGTAGTCAGCGAGAAGCAGACTGCCTCTAAGGGCAGAGAGGATGTGCAGGAGATCCAACCATCGAACCGATGGGATCCCAACCTGTCTTCGGAGAACGAGGACATCCTTGTCGGACCTTCACAGGCCTCAGAGGAAGAGGCCAAAATTGAGGTGAACACATCATTGTCCTCGGAAAATTCTCCCTATGAGACCGTTCAGGCAGCTGTTCGGAACACGGACGGGGACGAGGTCGCCAATACTGTTCGCGCCTGGATCTTGGGGATGTTCTTCGTGACGATTGCCAGCGGGTTGAATATGTACCTGAGCATGAGGTACGATCATCCACATCGCTATTTGTTACTTCTGCCAAGCATCAAACAGCCATTGGTCTGACGATCCACAGGAGTCCAGCAATAGCCATTTCGTCCGTCGTAATTCAATTGTAAGCTCGGTATATTCAATCGTTATGAGAGATGATTGCTGATGAATTCCAAGACTGGTGTTTCCAATCGGTTGCTTTTGGGCAAAAGTGGTTCCCAAGCGGGTGTTCAACACATTTGGAATTCAAATGGAGCTTTAACACTGGTCCGTTTACCATCAAGGAACATACAGTAATTATAGTACGTGTACAAACAATGAACGTTTTGCAAAGTAATACGCGAGTACTAACTGATCTGACAGCTGATGGCCAAGTAAGTCCACAGTTCCGAACACTGCTCGTGTCTTATCTGGATAAATCTCTGAAACAACTCAAAACAGTGTCTCCATCTCATACGCTTACAGTACTGACGCGCTGATTGCCCTGAAAGCAAAGCGTGCGTCACTATATCTGCGAACTGGGTGTGCCTGAATGCTGACCTCCATTAGCCTATTATAATGTAGACATGGGATGGGAATTTCAGTTACTCTTCACTCTAAGCAGTCAGCTCACTGGAATTGGTCTAGCAGGCTTGTTTCGTCGCTTCTTGGTCTGGTCAGTATTGTCTCGGGCTTCCACGATGAATCCGCAACATCATTACTGACCTTCGTCGATAGGCCATCGGCAATGATCTGGCCGAGCCAATTCTCGAATACCTCTTTACTGTATGCTCTTCACGACAGAAGTGCTTCGGACTCGTCCCAGACCAATGGCTGGCGGATCTCTCGCTTCCGGTATTTCTTATACGTTGCGCTTGGATCTTTTGCATACTACTGGTACGTTCACGCTCGCACCCCTTTGGAATGAGAAGGCCTCGACTGATTTTAATGCTAGGATCCCCGGTGTCTTGTGGCAGGGACTCTCTATCTTCAGCTTCATCACCTGTAAGCATGTCCAGGGTCGAATTTTACGCAATATTTCATGCAACTAAGGCATGTGTCAGGGATTAAGCCTAATAGTATCGTGCTAAATCAATTATTTGGGGGATTTACCGGATTGTCCTTGCTTCCGATCATCTTTGATTGGACGTATGTCTCAGCTCCGGTATTTCTTTCGACCAGTATAGGCGCTGCTAACATGTCTCCAGCTATATCTCAAATTACCTGAACGATCCATTGTTGGCTCCAGTACACGCGCTTGTGAATACGATGATCGGGTTGATCGTCTTCGTCATAATCCCAGCAATTGGTATCGTATACTCCGGAGCTTTGTCAGTTTCTCTCCGTTCACCAGCTTTTTTTTTGGGGGCGAAACTGACGACAACTGAATAGGTGGTCGGATTATCTGCCTGTAAACACATCGACCACATATGACAACACGCAGAAGACCTACAATGTATCCAGGATCCTCGGTCCGAACTTCACGTTCGACCTCGAGAAATACAAGAAATACTCCCCGATGTTCTTGGCACCGACATTCGCTTTGAACTACGGGCTGGGGTTTGCCGCACTCATGGCCTCCATTGTTCACGTCTCACTCTCCCATGGCAAAGAGGTCTGGAACCGATGGAAAAATGGCAAGAACGACGCCCCAGATATCCACATGAAATTAATGCTAAAATATAGGGAATGCCCACAATGGTGGTACGGTGCTCTCTTTGTTATCTCTATGGCTTTGGGATTGTCTGCGGTCCTGGGGTATCCGTCGCAGCTTCCTTGTGAGTATTCCTTGACCAGAGTTGTCTTTAGAACTTCACAAGAAGACATTGCACGTAACACCAATACAGGGTGGGGATTCTTTGTTTCCATTATCATTGCATTGATCTTCATTGGATGTACCTCGGAACTATCTGAAAAACGTCGGCTGGACAGAATCCAGATCCCTACTTGCATGATTCTGGCGATTACAAATATTACTCTCTGTATAGACCCTCTCCAATTCACGAAATGATTAGCATCTATTTTCTAACCCCTTTTCCCCCGCAGCATTGAATGTCTTGTCTCCTTTCCTCGGCGGACTCATGATTCCTGGGAGGCCAATTGCTATCATGGTTTTCAAGGTTTACAGCACTATCGTACTGGGGCAAGCGTGAGCTTTCTCTGTTACTCCACCCAAACCGTGGTCAGGCTAACAGATAATCCTAGCCAAACTTACACTGGTGACATGAAGGTCAGTCCTGTGTTATTGTACTCATTCGGAACTTACTGAGGTACCGTGTCTTTTAGCTTGCTCACTACATGAAAATTCCACCTCGCACAGTCTTTTCGTGCCAATTGGTTGCCACCATTTGGGCTGCCTTTGTCCAAATCGCGGTTATGAATTGGACTCTTGATCATATCAATCAAGTTTGCACACCGTACGTTTCGACGTTCTAACCATCTCTGCTATCATGAAGTCAAACTCATCGTCATCACCGGTGTCAAGGGACCAGCCAGCTCATTTTAACTGTCCTAACGGAAAGACCTTGTTTTCGAATAGTATCACCTGGGGTACGCTCACAGCGCAACCGGTTTGAAGTGCCGGCTAATCGCGAAATAGGTGTCATCGGTCCGAATCGCATGCTTGGTTCAGACTCGATATATGGACATTTTCAATGGTTCTGGCTCGTCGGAGCAGGACTGCCAGTCATTTTCTACATCTTGGCACGAATGTTCCCCAAGTCTCCTATACGAATGTTGAACGCTCCAGTGTACGTGGAAGATTGCTATCACTATTAACTTGTCTACTAAACAACTAACAATAAATACAGCATGCTGGGAGCCATGAGCTGGCTGCCACCGTACGTGACGGTTTCAATTGTCTTTGTCTGTTACGATGATCCACGAACTAACCAAAGCTCTTCAGAGCCACCCCGCTGAACTTTGCGGCCTGGGTGATTGTTGGCCTAATCTTCAACTACTGGATCCGGCGTCGTTGGTCCGGATGGTGGCACCAATACAATTATCTTACCGCAGCAGGTCTGGATTCGGGGTTGATTCTATCAACCATCGTCATCTTCCTTGCTATCACGCTCCCCAATGTGACTGTTCCTCAGTGGTTGGGAAACACCGCGCAATTCGCAACGGCTGTCAGTATAAGGTCCTACAGAGAAGTACTTATGTCGAGTTTCGCTGACACAGTAAAACGATAGGATTACTTAGGCACGGCTATACGGAAGACAGTTGCAGAGGGAGAAACGTTTGGGCCATCTACCTGGTAGTTCGAGTAAACAACGACGTCTTGACGGTGTTCAAGGACTATCACCTAGTTAAAACGATCGGCCGAAGCAATTTGATGATATGGACGGCAGTGTGATTCGATGTGTCCTCGCGTTGGGGAATGGAGATATGTCATGAGAAGCAGTAGTATGTAGTACGAGCGAATTTAGCGTCACAATTTGCTTCGAGATGACGTATCCGTACTTGCAGAGCATTCTTCCTTTCATTCGTATGGCTTTTCCAGACAAGAGCCATATAAGTACATACAAATCCGTGACACAAAGGGGATTCTAACGGACTATTTACCAGTAAAGCTTTTGTAATTAGTTGCTACGAAGGTTGCTTTGAACAGATTTGAACCGATATCATGAGCACCTGCAGAATGGACTGTATGACTAATATATTACTAAGCCGCAGTGGTCGATGCGGGGAAAACCTCCGAACCCCGCCTCCGTGAAGGCTGGATGGCTGATTTAAATGCTCACCTAAACCCGTGGGCTGTTCTGACCATTTCGACGCGAACCAAAGCCTGTGGCAGCGCTATAAGAGAACTATGTTCGAATCCCTGAAGCAATCTGTGCTCTCTAAGGGCGACAAGGGCGATTCTGTCGTCGCCCTCCATGGCGATCCCGTATCCATGTCTCCAGTCGGAGGCGGCACCTATCCCCGCGCCAACTATCTACAGGATGGCTCAATAATCGGCGCATATACGGCCTTCGAACATGGCTACAGTATTATCACCCTCGTCCGCTCCACCGACGGTGGTGCGACTTGGTCCCCTCTGGGAACCGCAGCCAGAGCTTTAACAAGCGAGAATGACTTGGATAATCCGTACCCGCTGCAGCTCCCCAGCGGACGTGTCCTCGTTGCATTTCGAAATCATTCAAAGGATCCCTCTACCGGACGCTACACATTTTACCGGATTACCATCTGCTACTCCGATGATAATGGAGCAACATGGAAATATCTGAGCACGCCTGCATCTGACCCCGGTGGACCCAATGGAAACTGGGAGCCGTTCCTACGAAACGCGGCTGATGGGACATTGCAGTTATACTACTCACGTGAAAATAGCCCGATGGATCAAGATAACCTGATGCGCACTTCGACAGACGGGGGCGTCACCTGGTCGTCTGCCACCGTCATCTCCGGAGCCGAATTACATGATGCTCGGGACGGAATGGTAGGTGTCACTGAGACGAACGACGGTCATCTCCTGGCTGTCTTCGAAACAGGCCAAAATGGCCGCTTCACGATCAACTCTGTCCGCAGCACCGACGGGGGTAGAACGTGGGGTAACCGAGCGAGAGTATATACTCCTACGGGATTACACAATAATGCAGGCGCGCCCCAGATCGTCAATGTAGGGGGCAGGCTATATGTGAGCTTCATGACTGACGAGGATAGCCATGGATATACCTGGCCCAGAGGTGCAGCTGCCAAATTGGTTGTCAGCGATGACAATGGGCATACATGGGGAGGCAAGATAAAGGTCAGGGACATCCACAGTAACTGGCCCGGACTGCTGGCTCTGGACTCGAGATCTTTCTTGTGTATGTACGACAACGGTGGCGTTGTGGCTCAAAAGCTGGTGCACTAGTCAAAAACTCTTAAACGAGAAATAAGAAACAATAGAGATACTCTTTTTTGGAATCAAGCTTTTCCTTTCCGGCAGTACCTTCAATACATCCCGAGAGTAGTGACGTCCTAGTTCCCAAATACCTTAATCCGAGAGATCATACACCACGCAGCCCTGCATTGTTAACATAAATGGCCTATCTATCCATACTGAGTTAACATCCATCAAGGAGCGTCGCCTCATTGATTCTCAACGAGTTTGATCTGAACATTAAATGAGGATGCCCCAGGCATCCGGCAGATGCATGTCTCAGCTCGCTTAGGCCTCACCACCTTTGTAGGCGCCTGTAAGTAGTTTGCAGACTGCAGGCCTTCTTAGAGAATCCAAGCCACTTTCTCCTGCAAATCCTCTCATCATTTAACTCGACGCAAAACGACGCCAATAAATACATCGAGCTATATTTGCAGCGATAGCAGCCCCGCCTGTCCCGATTCCCGTCGCTTAGGGGGAGAGAGGTAAATCAGACCGTGGAAGCTCAGGTGGAGAGGGGGAAGTACTACGTCATGTTCGTTGCAATGGTGGAACAATTCATAGCATTTTTCATGAGAGCGTGTAATTGGATGTCTGGGCGCGCTCGAGGGAAATCTAGCAGCTCATGAAATTCGATTCAGCAATGTGCTATATGGTCGTTCTGTATAGAGGGTAAGAGCATATCGGATATAGATTTTGTAGACTTTGATGTACTGTACTGTACATGACAGATATATTGCAGAAAACTGGTTTCTTTCGTCGGAAATTTGGGGGAAACAAGTCGCAACAAGCGAACAATACGAATATATATTTTGACCCACAACGGTCTAATTCTCTACCTAGACTTCCTTTCGTCTTCCTTTCGCCTTTGTACGACCATCAAACAAAATTAACCACCGGAGAGTGAATATATATTCCTTACCCTGAACACCATTCTTGCTGCCACCAATACAGATGAAAAATTCATGCCTGATGATCTTACGGGTTCATGGCACTCCTAGTTCCGTCACCAAAACTCCCGGCGAAATCCATATCCATCATCATCCAGCTGCAGTCATCGCGAACGTTGTCTGGGAGCCAGCGCAGGGGAGTCTCGACGGCGGAGCCAGCATTATTCGCCTGCATGTTTGGGATGGCGTTTGATGAGGCAAAAGGATGTAGAGTAGACAGGAGCTGCATCTGGTCATGCTGAAGAGGCATATCCATTAGATTGCTGCCATTCATGCTGTGTAAAAAGGACATATCATCTGATCGGACTTGGTGGAAATCGAATGACGTGGGGTTTTGTGGTGCTTGGCCAGACACAATCGAGTCAGGCGGAGTTGGCATCGACTGGGGAGGAGCAGCTCCATGTTGGTTTCTGTTCAGGCTGGAAGAACGATATCCTTCGTTGTCTGCGTTCCCCTCCTGGCCAGACCCGTTCTTTCGGACAAGCTGTTGAATGATCTCCACGCATCGCATTGTGGAAGGTGTGCTGCGGGCGTTCCGCAGGACCTCCATATTGAACGCCAATCTGGCACTTGCTGTCTCTGCTTTTTCGCCCTTGCTCTCTTTCAGGTCCAAAATATTAATAGTGGCGCCGACAAAGACGGTGTACGTCTCCAGATAGGTGAGAGCTCGGAACCCAAAGCGCTTCACATGTAGCGTCATAAGTCCGTCAATCATCTCCGCTGCTTTCGTCGCCAGCGTTCGAGCTTTGGCTGTCTTTGGACGGTATGGACGACATAGTAAAATGATGGTCGCATGATAGAGCAGATTCAAAAGGAGAATGTGAAGCGGCGGACAAGGTACAGTACGCGAATCTGCGTTGATATAAAGATGTGACGGAAGCTCCTTGGCCCAGTTCTCCAACTTCTCGATCGTACGATCCAGGTAGCCGGAGAGATTGTTCTGCCCCGCGTGAGGTCTGGAATACAGAGTATCCAAGATGTCATCGATCATAATGCACAGCTTGCAGTAAGCGGAGAATCGACTGTTCGTCCGAGACAATTGGGAGACACCAACATCCGACGAAGAGGACTCGAAGAGTTTGGGTTTCCACAGTTCGTTTTCCGCTTCTTCGCCATCCAGCCAGGTATCTGGGGATGGCACAGGCATAATGTCGTGGATTGTGGGCGCACGCCCAAGGCAGAGACTCATGGTCTTATCCCACGTGTAGCAGCTCCAGAAGATTTGCTGACGTAGGGCGAGTTCCTCGTCCGAGAACTGGCCCACAAGGTGGCTGAGCGATCTGGGGTGGATGTGGATTCCAAGATCACGCATCATTCGGAATGCCATCCCGGAGTAGAGCCACCCCTGAGAGGTTCTCCCAGAAGCGCATTCCCGGGCGGATAAGACCAGCAGACCTTGCAGAGTTGGAATGGAGGACCCTTTATCGATCTCCTCCGCGAGGCAGCCAAGTGCCTTTTTGGCGAAATATTCGCTGAGCTGCGATGCATCTGGTCGGTCGGAAAACCGGGCTGCTTGTGCAAGGACGCTATTCAACAGAAATACAGTCACGTATGGCCCGGAATTGGCAAGATCGCCTGAAATTGTTAGCCTTTCACAGGCAGCCTATGTCGTCGTATGAACTCACGCATAAAGAGTTTACGACAGAGCACCAGATGGAGATGATGTGGCCAACACCAATACACGTCCAGAAGTTCGTTGACCAGCTCCTGGGAGATTTGCGAGTTGATAATGGACCCCAGTTCTGACTGCTGACTCAGAGCTGGAGAAGGAGCGGCAAGACTGTAGATGCTTTCTTTGCGAGTGGCCGGGCCATAAGGTCTGGTTTCCACGACGATTTCTGACCCACTTGGACGACGAGTCAACGTGATCTGTTCTGGCTGAAGATGATACAGACTCGTCCTTCCATAGAAGCAGATGCGGCCGTCTTCGCCGACGGAAGTCTCATTGAGAAGCTCGGTCACCTCGTCTTCGGTCGAGACTTCCGATCGAGGACTCTCCTTCTGTTGACGGGTATTGAGGTTTGATGCCCTGGGAGGCTTTGACGATGCAGTCGCCTCCTTGCTAAAATGCTCGTCCAGCAACCTGAGGCGCTCCTCCGGGCTTGCCGTCCGTAAGCGCTCGAGTATCGTCTCGAACATCTTCAGACGATCCTGCAGGGCTAGAGCGTATGTGACAGAAGGCGCTCTGAATATTGGGATCAATCAGCTGCCTCTCTTTGGTCGCCAGGTCAACTCACTTGTCAAAGTAACAGGTCTCGTTGTTGGCGAGACAGCGATCGCAGCTGGGCAGATTGCCGTTGCAGCGGGCCTTGCGCCTCCTGCAGTTGGCGCACGCGAAGCCATATTTGCGCGTCTGCTGGCGGTCGCGTCGAGGGCGCTGAGGGCGATCGCTGCCTTCTTTCGTGGAGCTGCTGGTTGCGTCTGACGTGGTTGCCATGGAGCAGATATGGACCGTGTTCTCATCCCATCTTGTATGATATGATGACGTTGAGTCGACTGGTTCTGGAGTCAGAGCCGCAGAATGTTTGTCCAACGGTCCTTGGCTAGTTCCCCTACTGCTTTGACTGTCGAAATTGGCGCTACTGCGCTTTAAATGGCCTGCCAAGCAATCAATGCTGATCTTGCCCGGCACCGCCAAATAAACAGGAGCAACAGTCAGACAATTTAGACAGGAAACGCCAATTCGAAATATTCCGCTGTCGTGTTCCCCACGCGGGGGATTTCCCCAGATCCGAGGCAGCAATTCACCCCGGATTTACCTGGCAAGGCACTATGCTACGTCTCCAGCATCTCCGACAATACGGTCTGGAGACAATCTTTCCGTGAAATTCTAGTCCAGGTCGCTGCTTTTGCTGCTTCCGATGCTAGAAGTATTAAGATCGTTGCCAATCTTGCCAAGACAGAATTATAATCCGGGCTGACTACGGAATAATAAAAATGAGTCGGGTGTCTCAAACGAAAAAAAAAGTCCATAGACTGCAGATGTTTTCCCCATACACCTTGCAGACATCCTTGCAAGCAGGGATAAAAGACAGGGATCTTCTGCGTTGACCAACTCAAACCAAGGATAGCTGTCATTCCACCAATAGCGGAGAAAAGGAGGCCGGGCACCTTTATGCATGGTTAGAAAAGTGGTACGCCCTCTTCTTCATCAGATATAAACAGAGACGTCTTCGTCAACCCCACGTGAAGAGTTGGTTCTCTCACGGATCCATGTATCCCCGACGGAAGTCGTATGGGTTACATACACTGCATTGAGTATGCAGAAGGAGTTCAAATAGGAAATTCTTCAGAGCACCATGGAGTTGATTCGTGGAGCAGCGCCCATAAATAATGGCGATCCCTGCAAGTGACGTGGAGGGAGACCGGCAACTCTCCGGACGGCGGCATCTCTCCGTGTCGCTGCGGGGATGCCTTTGCGATAATGGCTGAAACGTAAAACTGCTACTCGTGGAGTCGATTACTTTACATTGTGCGATTCTAGCCTTTTGCGAGTGATTCTATTGGCATTGTATTCCATCCTATTGTAATTTATTAGTTGGTGTAATTGGTACTATTGATATTATTCAGAGTTTCTGGGCGCAATGGCCGACAACAAAATCGATCAGGCAGTGAACTGGCTTCTTCCAATCTACTCGCAGTCCTCCGAGCTGAATGTCTCCAGTTTGAACGCGACTCTGAGGAAAAGTCTGCGTATGTTGGCTGACAAGTTTAGACTAAGCTTCAAGGTATGTTAATGTGAGTCATGGCCGTAATCGTTATAATTTCAGCGAGCTGAACTGAATCAGCAAGATGACGTCGGCAATATCTACATTACCGGTGCAGGTCGTGATCCAGAATTGTCACCCTTAGGCGTATGCTTCCCTCTGGACGGGTCGACGTTTCCTGGTGCGTTCGAGGGTGCACTGCGCACATTCCTCGCGTTGCAGAATCGCAGCTTCAGTTGCGGTATTTCTTTGATCGGATGGTCGTCTCCGGCAGGAAAGTCATTGGGTCATGATGTGTGGGAGGGCCGGATATCTCTAGAAGAGAGCTTATCACAGGCTCCGGATCTCAAGCAATTTTCGAGCATGGACAGCTTCTCTTCGTTTGGCATGTCCGCCTTGTTTGAGATTGTCGTGACACAGGAAGCTACTATTAGCATTCGTGGCGGCCCGATTCTCGTGCAGAAAGCAGCTAATGCTGCCCAAAGGCCCGTCAAGACGCAGTCTGAAGGCCAGACTCCGCGAAGAGCGCCAGAGGTGAAAATTGAGGGACGTGAAGCTGTATCGGTGGGGAGAGCCACGGTGGAGCTGTACAGTAAATACATAGCGGCGCTCTTCGACAACTTCGACTAATTTTGCTCTGCTGTAAAAGATAGGAGAATCAGTCACTAATAATCATGCATGAACCTTTTTATCTTTGAATGGCATTTTCCCCTTTCGTCGGCTGGGGCTCAGCCTTAGGGCAAGCACATTCTGCCTAAAATTTAATTTTTTGATCAGCCGCGGACCCCGCCTTCACCCTAGAGCATATTGTTTAGACGTAAACGGTCATAGAGGGGCATCTGTATCAATCAACAAACATTGGGTACACAAAATGTCTTCACCATCCGGTGCGGAGAGTCTCCGCGCGAACCCCTCGGGACAGTTTCCCTCGATTGCGATGAGTCGAGCAGCGTGTGACGCAGATTAATCGAGTCAATGTGTGATGACGTTTGTTCCAATGTTGATCCATTGAAAAGTTTCTGATATATATAGATAGGCGGTCCGTTCGTGTGAATACTTTCCCAAGCATGCAGAATTCTTTTCTCATCGAGCTTTAACATCCCCGTCGACAGAATCATGGCATCTTCAGTGAATGCCCGTGGCGGCATCCAGTCTGCGTCTAGTACGCTCTTCTTTGAGCAAGAAGGCAACAAGGACGGACCTGCAATCCTGTGTATCCACGGTCTGGGAGGCACCACCAACTTCTACCAACCGGTAGCCTCTGCGCTTCAGGATTACAACCTCATTCGGTTTGACCTCAGCGGCCATGGGAGAAGTAGCCCTCCGGCGGGGAAGACGAGCATCGAGTCCTACGTGGAAGATTGTGAAGGTTAGTACTGCTGGTATCCACGAGCAATCTGTACGTACAGGAAAAGTCCTACTGACATGCTATTAGCGGTGATCAAGCATTTCCACGTCAAAGACCTTACCGTGGCTGGCCACTCTCTGGGCGGTCTCATTGCTCTCCACCTGGCCGCGAAACGCCCCGAATTGGTCAGACGGCTCGTTCTGTTCGGTCCGGTGAAGACGCCGCCTGAGGCTGGCCAGAACGGATTAAAGGCGCGCGCGAAAACAGCCCGCGAGGGAGGAATGGGGGCCGTCGCAGACACAGTCATCAGCGGATCACTGTCCCCCACCACCCTCCAGTCCAGACCTGAAGTCGTCGGATTCGCGCGGGAGTTGCTGTCCCGACAGCAGCCTGAAGGGTATGCGCTGGCCTGCGAGGCTCTTGCCAACAGCTCGGACCCGGAGTGGGACAAAATCAAGGCCGAAGTCCTCATTGTCGGCGGTGCGGACAACAAAGTAAGCGCAGCGCCGACTCGCGAGGCCATTGCTGCCAGTTTGAAGGAGGCGAAGAAGGTCGAGCAAGTGACGTGGGAGAACGTTGGTCATTGGCTTGTATTAGAGAATCCGAAGGGAAGTGCAGAGGTGTTGAAGGCGTAGTTGAGTAGAAAGCGTTCAAGTAGCGTAGAGAGGTTATAGAATAAGAAGTTATCCAATTCCTTCCACAAAGAGATTTCGGCAACTTTTTCGAGACAACGAAAAGACAAAATCATAATCATATCGACGCTGCCAGAATTTGTGCTGAAGATACTGAAATCCTCATTTTCTTCTTGGTACTCTCTACTATAGCCTTTGATGTTTAGCTAGTCAAACTAGGCTTCCGAATCCTGGTCATATAGTTCGTCTTATTTATCTTCATCGACATGTTGTCATTGTTCGTCTATATCTAAATCCCCTACATACACTCAGGCATTAATTATTATCGAGGTCTAAGCACTATTTGCGACGGTGGATCCGTTTGATGCTGTTTCGTCTTTCTTCAACGTAAAGTCCTCTCCTTTAAATGGGCTCAGACCCGCGGTCACCCTCATGCCAGCTGAGCAGGCACTCCAGTCGAGACCCTCACCCCCAATCGCCTTGGCCGTGGTCAGATGGTTCCAGGCCAGATCGATGATGGGCGTTGGTGTTGATGTCTCTGCTCCCAGCCGTCGAATATACGACGCATCCTTCATGCCTCCAGGCAGCGTGAAGCCCGTTTTGCCGCTAAAGGCGCCATCGCGAATCTTCTTGCCGTAGTTCACCCACGCTGGAGCAGGGAACCATTGTTCTGAGAGCCGTTAGTAGGGAACGTAACATATACTTCGGAAGATAGAATCGTACGTATGAACTTATAGAACAAGTTTGCATCAAATCCGGTTTTCTCCGCCAGCGCGAAACTCTCGGAGAGAAGCTCGATCGTGCCTAAGATGCAGTTGTTTCCCAGGATCTTCAAGAGAGCTCCTTTGGATGTCTTATCGCCGCAGTCGAGCACACCCTTGCCAAGCGCTGGGACAAGATACTCTTTTACGACTTCTCGAACCGCACTGTCTCCCGACACTGCAATCAACAGCCCTGCAGATTTGGCGACTGCAGGCGGCCCAAAGACCGGACAAGAGAGGAAGTGTACTCCATTCTGGCGTGCTTCTTCTTGCAATGTCTCCGTCGTCGTGGGAAAGAGGGTGGAATGGTCGACGTATATAGCGCCCTGCTTTTGCTGGCAAAGAGCTGTCTATACACGGACAGCGCAACGTCGTCGTTCGCGAGACAGCCGTGTACGATCGTACACGACGAACCGATCTCGTCCAGAGAATCCGCAACCTGGCAGTGGCCTTGCGCCAAACTCTCCGACTTCGCTCGTGTCCGATTCCATACTCGAACCTTTGGCAGCTGCTGCGCCTGAGCATAGGACGAAAGATTGAAGGCCATGTGAATCCCCATGTTGCCCAAGCCCACAAAGCCAAACACACGCGACGAACTTTCTGAAGCCATATTCAATAGAGATGATCAAGAAGAGTTTCCACAGCTAAACTAGACGGCTGGAGTGATTGCAGAGAAACTGCTGGCCATTGTCATTTGAGGCAGCGGGCTCTGAATTCTATATATGAAATTGGAATCCCCACTACGACGACTTGTTGTCATCTTCGTTCTGCTTCGTATCGTGTCTGTGGCTGGCGTACGTATCAGTGTCCACCAGAGAAGCCGATTCTACACAAGACACACTTTCTCTCCTTGGCGATTGCTCCGGCATCTCTCCGGCGGCAAGTCTCCAGTCGCTCTGCAAGTAACCACCATCCACACCAAGCACGGAGTAATACGCGTTTCTACCCGTTTAGTGCCCCGAGGATCTAGAATATTCAGGCATGGAGTTGCCAAAAATTCAGGTCTGCAAGGATGTATGTACTCTGTCCAGCGGTCTGTCTCCGCAGACGACTTACCCCGCTTCCGTGAAGATTGTGGATGACAGCAAGTATTTGGACACGTTCCTCACAGGAGATAGCATAAAAGCAATGAGCTGGTCTTGATGCAGTGGGTCTTCTTCCTTCAAATGTTGTTGTTGTGAGCATTTCTTTCGCGTGATCAAGGTCCTGCCTGTACAGTACATACCTGTCTTATTCCATCACCATGGCTTCTGCAAACGGTCATGCCAGCACAACAAACGGGGTCGGGCACTACAAGCCAATTCCCGCAGACATTGAGATAGATAACCGCAAACCAGACGATCCCGCCAAGATACTGTTCAAGAATGTCAACATCATTGATTCCACTGGCAAGGACCCGTACCTCGGCGACGTCTTGATCGAGGGAGAACGCATCACCCAAGTGGGCGGCAGCATCGATCATGATCCCTCCTCCGACACTCTCGTTATTGACGGTGAGGGCAGGAAGACACTCCTGTCAGGACTCTGCGATGCTCACACGCATCTGAGCTGGAACAACTCGCCGACCCTGGACGGCCTCGTCAGTCTGCCACTTGAAGAGCATGTGCTACACACCGCCCATTCAGCCAAGATGTACCTGGACTGTGGCTATACCATGTGTTTTGGAGCTGCCTCTGCTCGGCCGCGACTCGACGTCTGCATCAAGGGCGCTATAAAGAAGGGCATGATTCCAGGGCCCCGGACGCTGGCCAATTCACAGGAGATCTCAACAACGGGTGGTGCTATCATTCCCAGCATCACCAAGTTCGCCGACGGGGTCGATGAGATGCGCCGCGTGGTCCGAGAGTTCCTGTCGCTGGGGATTGACAACGTGAAGCTGTCGATGACAGGAGACTACGTGCACGAATTCATGGGCAGCGAAGAGACATACTTCACACTCGAAGAGACAAAAGCAGCTGTCGAAGAAGCCCACAACAGAGGCAAAAGGGTATGCGCCCACGCCCGCAGTTGCGCATCGGTGAAGCTGTGTGCCCTAGCCGGTGTCGACGTTATCTACCACGCCTCCTTCGTAGACGAGGAAGGACTTAACCTCCTCGAGGCGAGAAAGGACCAGGTCTTCGTCGCTCCCGCCATCAACTTCCCGTTGACATCCTGCACTGGCGAGGCGATACCGTATGGCCTCACGCCCGAAATGGCCGCAAAGAAGGGCCTGAAGCGCGAAGTGGAGATCGCAGCTAGAGCGATGAACGAGATGCGGAAACGGGGCATCAAGGTCCTTCCCGGCGGTGATTTCGGATTTGCCTGGGCGCCTCATGGGACCTACGCGAGGGATCTTGCTCACTTTGTGAATCTGTTCGGCTATACGCCTATGGAAGCCATCATTGCGGCCACGGCTTGGGGCGGAGAGATCATGGGCCATCCGGAGGAATTAGGCAAGGTGCTTCCGGGATACTATGCCGATGTCATCTTGGTGGATGGCAATCCGCTGGAGGACATTGAAATCTTCCAGCACACAGAACGGATCCACGCCATCGTTATCAACGGGCATGTCCACAAAAATATCTCTGGCAAGGGACAGCCGAAGTGGGAGCCGGGCAAGACGAAATTACCTGTTATGAGGGAGGACGGTACCGTTGACTGGAAGATGGAGGATCGATTTGGAACGGCCGTCAAGGCATAAAAGTCATGTTTTTGTCATGTTGGATGATCTTTCTGTGTATTATTCTATGGCTGTAGGACCGATGCAGTCTGACTGACGGCCTGAAGAGAAGGAAATGATTGATAAGTACACGATGTATTTTATCTCCAGTGTTCTTTTTGCGAATTCGTAGAAGCAGCTTGACTGGACATTAGTATGCTTCCTTGAACTATCAATCAATGTGGGCTTATCGCACTGAGGCATATCACACTGCTCTTCGCGGTAACATTCTTCGATGCGTCTTAGTAGGCCTCATGGGTCATCACCTCGAGAACACTGGCTTTGGAGTGAAATTGAGATTTCTGTCACAGCAATTAGATCAATCTGGCACTAATGGGAAAATAAAAATACGAGAACTATTCAGATCCCACGATACTGCTAAGTAACGGAACAGTCGAACTGAAAAGACGAGGACTCGACATTGGTTCCCTGGACTGGACTGTAGTCCAACTTGGCGCGAGTACCGATATTTTTCAGCGTGATGGATACATCATATTAGACTCTCATCTAATCGTTTTCTTGTTATGAGCTGATCAAACGTGGTAGTACATGGGACGGATTTGGCACCATATTTGGGAAATATATGTTTTCCATCGTGCCCATACAGCTGCCAAGACTTGTAACAGAATAAGGGATACACCAAAATAGACAGCCCGAGATTTCCACGTGAATGTATTGCGAATTTTATATACGACATCTCAGGCATTCCAGTCCTTTTGGACAACGATAACAACGCTGTTGTCCAGCTGTAGTCTTTCTCGACAGAAGTCGATGTTGGGTGGACCGGCAGGAATCTTCCGCTTTCGTTAGTTTCAGTTTATCTACTGTCAATCGTAATACGGCCGCGATTATTGGTCCATCCGATTGACCCACAACCGGTGGTGTCCCCGGCTACCGGGCGGGAACATCCGCACAAGTGGGCCACGACCGCTTCCAATTTATCGCTTACCCCACTCTGCCTCGTCCAGTTTAGGATTCCTCGTGTGATAGGTATTGTATTTCGAATATTTCATATTTCTTTTATTTATTAAGGAGGAGATAGCACGGACTGTCGAACGAATAAGTCTTTGTGCAGCTGCGGTGTTTCCAATTTCTGTTTGGATAACACGGGAGTAAATAACTATTTTGGCTTTGAATTCAACAGTGTGCCTTGGCGGATTATTCTTTGCTAGGCGAATGAGACTCGGGAATATGGAAAACTTGCTTGTGAAAATTGTAAAATCAAAGAAATCAATCTAGAGTATGACCAGTATCAAGAATACAGATAGGAGAGACACTAGCTGCCTTTCAATCTGGTTGAGACACATCTGCGAGCCGGAAACAAGGTAGGCCACTGAAGGATAGAGACTTCAGCCAGATTTCCAGTACCGTTTAATGATATCATTTGGCACAGGCTGGTATTTCCGTAAGGAAGAGAGCAGAATCAATCTCGCTGGTTGGTCTCTGCTGTTATAAACAGCAATACAACATCCTCCTTCTTCTTTTGCTGCAACCTGTTGGGTCTCCTTGATTAGTTGAACCATCTTCTGCAGAGCATATTGGTTCTTCTTCTCCCAGTCATGGAATTTTGCCGCGACGTCAATTGTCTCGATCTTCGTGAAATTTCCGTCCTTGTGATAACCACGAACTAAGGATGGTGTCCAGCCAAACCAAAGCTGAGGCAACGAACTCGTGAGCTTGGCTCCTCCACTTCGTGTTGTAATTTTGGCAGTAGTCGAGTACGGAACAAGGCGCCCACGCTGTACGACACTTGTGGTGTGTTTCTGATCATGAGACATTTCACTTTGGTTACCATCAATGTTCAGTCTTCCAAAGGACGACGTAAGGTCATGATCCTCAGAGGTATTCCTTTCGGTCTCTACCTCTTGATAGCTAGCATCAACCTCGAATCGGACAACGCAGTTTGAATCCCCCATCTTGTATTGGATGACCCTGTGGTGACTTGTGCTTTCCTCCAGACCTGGCTCCGGCTTGGAGATCGCGTGCACAAAATTGTGACCAACCCCTGATTCGCGACTCCCATGTAGAAATTCCCTGTTGGACCGCTCGTGACGGATCAAGAAGAGCGTGTTGTGTACGATGCTGAGATCGATGCGAAAGCTCTCGCTTCCCTTGTGGGCTGCGAGGTTGAACAGCTTGCGAAGGCTATTGCGATCTGTGATGAGATCAACGTCCGTAAATCTGAACTCTGGCTTCATGACGTCCAAGGCCCGGAATAGAGGTTCGAAGCTAAACTCCGGTACTCGAAACGCATTTTGATCTATGAAAAATGTCCCGCTGTCTCTTGGAAGCGTGAAAGGCACGTTTCTCAGCGCAAGTCGCGCAGGCGCACCTTTCAGTGTATTGGTCTTAGCTCAACTCGACCGAAGAAAGAAGATTCATCTCACGTAGATGCAGCGATCGTCTGTAGCTGTCCAATTGTAGGTGCAAAGCAACTTAAAGCCTATTTCAGCTGTTACTGGACTAGGGGAGTCTTTGCTGGTGTCGAGATTGTCGGGGTGGAGGGTTTGCAGAGTCCGACCTGTCCCTTTGATATGCCAAGTTATTCGCGAGGCTCGCAACATGCTGTTCATCTCAGCGTCGAGTCCGGATTGTTTTCGACTCATTGTCTGTTGTCGATCAAGTTGTTGTTGCTCTGGTAAGTCACCTTGTTGGTGTAAAGTGCTTGAACGGCCCGAGGCTAGATTCACATGCCACTGACTACCTGTTGCCTGAAAAGATGGTCCTATGAGAGTGAAGATGAAAGAGTAAGAAGATGGGAAGAGAACCGATACAGAGGTTTGTTGTAAGCTAAGACTCACGAATTCCTCACAGGAATGGGAAATTTTCAAGTTAGGCCGGAGATTTCCTGAAATTAAAATTCCAACCAAAGTCTCAAAAATGAAATTTCAATGATTCTTTGACTCTGATTGGTCATCAGGGATTTTCCAAAAAAAATTCAGGACACAGACCAATTTTCAATTTATGAAATTTCACAGCGCATGAGATATCTCTCGTTTGCAATGAAGCCCAAACCCTCTGCTTGTCTCAACGCTCAACAAATTCGACGTGGCAATCTTCCTTTCCAAAGAACAAAGTGACATGCATGTAGATCAGAATTAAATGTTCTTCTACTCAGCGCAAAAGCCTAATAGTCTGACAATGAGAAAAGCGAGTATCTTCAAGGATAGTCGTTATCCTATTAGTGAGGTGTTAAGTCAAATGCTGACAGCAAATACTCCGGCTACCATGAAGAAGAAAGAAAGAAGGAAAGAAAGCAAGGAAAGAAGGAAGAAACTAAAAAACGGCGAGAGGGACTTAGGAGATCAGAGACAGAAATCTTCAGCACCCCAAGGAGTGATGGGGGGCATTCGAGCCTCAGTTTTCATCTGGCTTTTCACCATAAACGACATGGAGCTTCGTATAGAGATGGATTGACAGATCCTTCAACTCCCGCCGTACGCCAGCCAGTAAGACCTCTACCTCATTCCTTTCCCAGCCAAGGAACCGGGTAAAAAGTGCATATGTATAGGATCCTAGACCCTGAAACACATTGTGTTGATTGAAAGTCCCGATCGTTTTTAGCTTTTCGTCTTGTGACCATGGGCTCTGCGGCAGCTATGCAGAATTGAATTTCAAGTTAGCAGGTCTTTCCCATTTGTGATTTGGGTGAAAAGTTCTACGAGGGTTGCATACCTTATATTCTTCCCATTTAACATTTTTGAAGCCCGCTTTTTCCATTTTCTCCTTCCAGGTATTCACTGTAGTCATGCTTTTTCCAAACTTTTCGGCGGCTTTATGTATACCATCTACCATCTTCAAACAGTTTTCAGCTCTTTTGTGCGTACCATCATCGGAGTATGTAGTGACTCCAATTGTTTTCATCTCAAAAAAACCTCCTGGTCGCAGAAACTGGAAGCATTGAGTAAAAAATTGATTATGATCCCGAATGCATCCTTCCAGTTCACGGCCGTGGATGAAGTCAAACTTCTGAGAAAAATGCCATTCTTGTTCGAAGTCGTCAATCTCGAACCTCACGTTAGGGGGCACCCTACTACGCGTTAATAAATTTGTGATACTGGCTAGTCAAAGGACAGTACCATGGAGGTTGAATGGGACTCAGATCCGTTCCTGGATACTTGCGACGTCAAACAGAGCCATAATTATTTGGCAACGTGATGACTCACCGATGACCTCTGCCTGTGGATTTTCACTGTTTGCTGTCAGTTACAGACCGGATTTATGACAACTAATAAACTTCTTACTCGGCAAAGTCAATAGCCCAAATGCCGGTCCCTGTTCCAAGATCCAACACTCTCTGAGGACTTTTGACCGGAGCGCGGTAAAGATGGCCACCGAGAACGAGGTTGTAGACATGGTGTGACTTCATTTGTTAGTCATGCCATGGAACGACACTCAGTGACTCACCAAGTCTAGTCGATCTTGCTCATCCTCATCGTTTGGCTTTCCAACGAAGTCAGTAATGAAAAAGAATATCTATCCGAATTCAGTCGCTTACCAGTACGTATTCGCCGTGGTGGTACGAATGGTATCGGCGACCATTCTAACACACCCTTCAGTTGCGTTAATGACGCCATTGGCTAAGTTTGTACAAACCTCGTACCTTCCATTCTGTTAGTCTCAAAGAAACGCTATAAGCAATATGTGAATGGCACTCACACATAGTTCTTGACGCTCGAAGCAAGTGAGGTGGTGTCGCTGATGTTAAGCCTGTACCGTGGTGAGCACAAGCACAAGGAATTGGCAAGCATAGTGCCTACAAGCTCTCAATTGCAGAATCACCATCGGCTGCCACCTCCTGTATCCATTTTTAGTGATTTGGACGGCTACAAGACGGTAGTCTGGAATACCTCCAGCGCAGCAGCGGCAATGGGCTGGTCTGGTGCGGCTTGGGACATTGTTGAGCAACAAGTATCCCTCGAATTCACAGCTGGCAAGTTCCTTGGTAGCGATGAAAACTCCAGAGAACATTTGAGGGATTCGAGAAATTAATTAAAACCAGCATACAAGGCTCCCCAACGCTGTTCGGATAAACTCGAATTCAACAGCGATCGATTTAGTTCCCACGGCGAGTTCCGGATCATCTTCCCCGCTCACCAATGCAAGACTAAATGGAAGTGGCACCTGTCATGTATGCACTTAGTGGGGTAAATCTGCGGCTAAAGAGGGAAAGGAACTCCCTAAAATTGATAAGGCGTTATGGATGGATGCGATCGATCAATCCTTGTCCATCGGAAAGTTGACCGTTGAGATACTCCAATGGTCTTGAGAGACAACGGCAAAAAGGAAGTAGCGACTTCCGTACCTCATCTAGAATTAACGAGTCTTAATCGTGTAAGTAACGCCGTTTATAGTAAGATCCTTTTCCTTGCCGGGACTCCTGGAGAAAGTGAGCTGCTCTGTGATATGGCCATAGGAACAGTCACTTCATAACCTGGGAGGCTTCATAGTCATCTCACTGCCAGAGAGTTTCAATACCGGTCTTTCTTATAATAATAATCGATAGCATGACAGTCTCAAACGGGGTTCATCTACCAGCCAGTTGGATATCCATCTGTGATGACAAGATTGGCTTTTGCCATTAAGCCCTGCCAGCAGCACACGCCACTGTACTTCAAGTAGACGAATTTTCTGGACGGAAAAATAAAATCTGGGAATGCTCTATGGTCAATCTGGCGAGCGGGGTAATTGGGTAGATGCAGCCTTGCGGCGCAGCAAAGGCTCGAACTTGCATGTTATACGCAGTAGAAGTGGACCGTTCGTTACACAGCATGAACTAATGTTGGGCCTAGCTTAGTGTCAAATTAAACATGACTACTTGCGAGATGGAGGAAGGTTATGTGGCGTTGAAACGATATCCAATAACTGCCTTGACCTAAAATAAAAGACTGTTCAAGTTCACAACTGCAGTAACTGTCATTTAATTTCTGCAGCTCTCTAGAAGAACTCGTCTGAAGTTTGAAATGTGCGACTTTGGTCTGTTCAAATATATTCCTAGAACATAAATGGACTGCTAAAAACTGTCATTGTATCCTAAAAATAACATTGTTTTACTTTCATGCCCTTGTGCCGCTATTCTCAGGTTTCCGCCCATAGACAACGTAACTAAGAAGTCAGTTTTAAAGCCGAAGATAGTTAAGAGGAGGAAGAAAAACTACTTACAAATCAAATAACGGGTGGATATTGGGATTCCGGACATCACTCCTGGTCTTAGCTACCAGAACGTTGACTTCCTCTGGAGACCATTTCTCATGTCTTGTCAGCACCGCCAAAGCGGCGGCTTCAAAACCAGTTTCGGCCTGGAGTAGATTCCAAGTTCCAAGAGTTTTCTATTGCAAGAGAGATCACGTTAGCAATACCCCCAAATCACAAGCTTGGACAACTTTTCCACATACGTAATACTTGTCCTTGGGCCAGGCGCCAATGGGGATTCGGTACTTTTGAACATGAATATCTTGAAAACCAGCTTCACGAAACCACTGTTCTAGACGCGGTCCCGGACTGGCTACATATCCAGCATTTGTGAAGCCATCAATGGTCGCCCTGTAATATTGTTCAATCGATGTACCTTTGGTTGAACCATCTTCCGAGTACATGTTGGTATCCCAGTCCTGAAACTCAACCCATCCACCAGGAGCGGTCCACCTAATAAAGTTAATAGAGACTCTACAAGAGATTGAAATTGACTTGACTTGTATGCCTGCTTCAGCAGCCTAGGGAAATCCTTGACAGAGCCTGCTAGGTAACGGGCATGGATGAAGTCAAAGCCTTGTTGATTTTCGTACACCCACTCATCCTCGAAGTCATCGACGATGAATTTCACGTTTGGAGGAACACTATATATGCATCAAATGCTTAGTTGGCAGCCTTTCGAAATAAAGGCGGCGAGTTACTAACAATGTTGGCTGTGTAGGGCTGAGATCTATACCGTAAACCTAGTCAAAAGATTAGAGACGTTCATCATCTTCCATGCCGAAAGGGTGTCTCACTTCTGCTGACTGGAACTGGTCGGCTAGGGGAAAAGGCAACTGGTAAGCACGGAAACCAGACACTTCAGTTCAATTTCTTACCAAAGTCCATGACCCATATTCCTGTTCCAGTTCCGATGTCCAGGACCCGCTGTGGTGAAGATCCAATAGGCGCAAGGAATAGTTTCCTGTTCATTGTCTCCAGCATCATTTCATGAATCATATCTAGTCTATCCGATTCCTCCTCATCGTTGGGGATGAGGTAGCCTTTTTTTTTATCCTCTGGTCAGTTCTGGAACTTAGAATTCGTGAAGGAGACGCCTTACGACCGTCACGATAGCCGTGATAACGTCTCCCATTCTCATTCCGATAGTCAAGGACCGATGACGTGAGAGAGGCGGAGTAGGTCGAACTAGCATCAAGTCAGCGGTTTGTTCGGCCCGTAGGTAAGTGAGTTGTTTTAACAATTCTTGGCCGTAAGAAGAATCATTGTCGGTTGCCTGGAAAAACCCCTGTTAGAAACAAAGCTTTCCAGATCCTCGGGGGTACAGACCTGAAGGTCTACTTCGATATTTGGAACATCTTCACTGTGCTCGCGAGCGGTACCAGCAGTTTCAGACATACTCAAATCTCTTCAGAATCAGCTCAAGCGCAAGCGTTTGATGCCGGGTTACCACAGAGACAGATCTTAAGCAAGAGGAAAATCGGCGAGCGGAGGTAATGAATGCTAGTAGGAAATGGATAAAGAGCCACTCTCGTTCACTATTGATCACTGTGGAGAAGGAACCATAGTCTAGCAGGACTTAAGAACGCCTGTAAGCTAGGCACATTATTCCTGCTGTGCCATTCCAAGGCTGCTTTCAATGGCTACTACATTAGAAATAGTTTAACATTCGCTAGAAACCCATCACTGCACTACCTATTTTAGCTGGTCTTGTAGTCAGTCCCGACAGCTGAGACTAACACTAAATGACTCGGTGGAATCGGCTCCGACTACTGCGAGTGCCGTCATATGATTATTCTCGGGTGTATGGAGTTGTAAAAACAGAACTACAGACATTTCCAGAAATGGAAGGACATTTCTGGTCAAGCCGAATACTACGAATGTTGAGCAATTCAGCGAGCTTATCCTAACTACTCCTATGAAATAGGGACCTTTAATGGCGAACTAGCTGCATCGGATCTCCGTACCAGGTTTCTGGGTGCAATGACATCGAATGTACATAGATTCTACGCCTGTCTTCCAAAGCCCGATCCTAATTCTTTATATATGTTACCTTTTTAAGTTCACAGCCTTAGATCAACACAGATGCTTAAAACAATGAATTCAGACTAGACACTAGACTACATTTTTGATAGGAATAGAAGACGATAATAACAAATATATGTGTCATGAAGGAATAGATTTATTATAAAGTCACGGACTGAACCCGTCGATCAGCTTCCATCTTCTCCATTCATTTCGAACGTCAGTTTTCGTCAATGTTGAAATTGTTTCAACCATAGAACTTCGACGCGCTAGAATATCCCTCTCGAATATCAAATGGCCATTTTTTTTTCTCGCTTTTGACGGTCTTTATACAGATAGGCATGACTCATTTCCTGACACTAGTAGGCATTGGCAATCATCGACAAGAATCTATATGCACTTGTCGACAGTATGCAGTAGATTATTATCCTCATTTCCAGTATTTTATTTCTTGCGCAACTTTGGAAGGGAAAATTCCTTCGAAGCTATGACTCTTCATCTGACAGGTGACCTGAGTCAAATAGGTGTTGTGTTCGCTTCCGGCATGAAGCAGTGAATACTGATTATTGTTGATTTAATTCACGGTCTAACAACAGTCATGGCACATGAATAGAAAACAAATTCCGCAGAAGACAGTTACTGCCAGAAACATGAGTCATTGACCCAGGAGTCATATCTCACAAAGCGTAGAAAACGAACCTTTTCCTTCCTTCTCTATATAGCTATTGAAAGGGTCTTCTCCATATCATCAAGCACAAGAAATCTTTTATTAAAACCTAACCAGCTGCGCTCATAGTCTTGAAATTCTCTAACCCTTTTATCTCATTCTTGGTATCCTCTTGGGATCTTTTCGCTTCCTTCGGAAAAAGAAAAAGCGGCCAGTAACACTATGAGCACGCTCAAACGGGGCAACAAAATTACAATTGGAAATGAAAGTAAATCCACCTGGAAATTAACGGAGATGCTGTTTCATTGGGGACCTTTTCTCCTCATAAGAGGAGTCGAGGACGAACGATTGGTATCTTTCTGCTTGCGGGTTGATTTGCCGGCTCCGGCGGCAGTAATGAAAATCAAGACGCTGTACGTTTAAGATTTCTCGATGCCTCATCTCAGAAAGAAAATGGTGAGTCGATTCATTAATGAGAATGGCAGGATATTTTCTTCGCCCCATCGTCAAGATGAAGTGATGCGTGCCATCTTCAATGAAGATAACATAGTGCACCAGCAGATTCATGGCATCTTCAATGAAATTGACACACTGGACGAGCTGACTAAAAAGGGATGCAAATCAACTCCAAAACTGCTGGCATTGGAGAAAATCTCGAATGATGTCCGGCGTACTTGCTGCATCGTTATGGGGAAGGCACCAGGCATTAGTCTGGTGGACCCAAAGACTGGATAAGATCACTTCTTGAAGATGAGCTTGGAGGAACGGACTGAAATCCGATATGCCTTTAAAAAGGCTTGGGAGTAAGATATAACCAGTCGCTCTCCTTTTTTTTTTCTAGCTATAGTAATAACTGACACTCCATACAGGGAATGCATCCGCTGTGGGTTTAAGAACAGGTATCCCCGCCGGGAAAAGCTCATTTGGGACCATAAGGAGAAGAAATGGTCAGTTTGTTCAATATAATGCCCTTGTACCAAATGCCATGACCGCTGATGCATTTCCACAGTTGGATTGCTAACTGGGAGCTAGCAGAAAGAGTCCCCGAATCCACCCAGTGGGACGATATTGAATATCGCAAGTGGGTGTTGAGCGAAAGCCCTGGGGAGGAGCGAGGAGCCCGAGTCTCTCCTGCCACCTAATCGTGTCCTTCTTCCATTTTCGGCTTATGCCGCTTTGTGCGAGTCATTCTCAATTTGTAGAGTAGCTGCTTCCTAGATACTTCATTTAATTTGGTTCCGGGTTTTTCTTGAGGAGTACTTGCCAGAGGCACTTTACTTTCAAGCCACTCGAACACTTGCTAACAGGCTTTGGAAAGCCCATACAGGTAGACTTGACCATATACAATGCCTGTAGATAATACCTTCAAATGTAGTAAAACTGCGAAGATTGTGCAGATTTGGAGGGCAAAGGGAGCCACGACTCAATCAGTGCTAACCACGCGAGTCGATTTTCTATATACTTGTGCATTATGGATGGAGTTGATCGATGGATTCAAAAAGTGAGCTTATGCAGGCCTTAAGCATGGTCTACTTGGAATCAGGAGGGCGTCCCCTGGGAACACTCTTGAGCCACTCTTTGCAAGAACCTCACAGAGTCTTCTGGGCATAGAGGTGACCTGAAGTTCGTCTTTTTACTTAGGCTCGACTACCTGACTGTATAGACTTAATTGAAGGTTGCGTGAAAAAATATATATCTCCTAACTCTGGAGATTACTGTTGCGTGAAAAAAATATAAAACCCTAGATTCATTTACAGTTTCTGGAACCCAGAACTTTTACTGAAAATTCCCTTATTCTGATCCCTAAATCTATCGGGCACTGTATAAAACCGAGCTCAACTCACTTGTTAATAGAAAATACAGAGTAAACCCTTCCTGTCTAATTTGTCCGGTCCTTTATAGTGTTATCCGACGATGTTTATCAACATTTTCACGCTTCAAAACGACCGTCGCCCGTGACAGCGAGCACGTGGGGCGCGGAACTCGGAATGCGTAGCCGACGGCCGGCAGAAACCAGCGGGACAAGAAGCCCATGCGGGTCGCTCCACGCCGCGGCGGCCTTGTTGACAGTTCAACGCGGCGTTTTTGGCGCTCTTCCGCGAGGATGCCGGGATCTAAGGCCTCAGACGATCTTGGCAGCCAATAATGTCGTCGACTTGCATGCACTAGCTCATCACAGCGTAGAAGCCAACTATGGTTACATCGCTAGACGTGGATTGCGCGATGGGGCAAGCAGATCAGCCGCACGACCGACAGATAGTTAGGGACCCTGTCGAGTCCGCCGGTCCCTGGTCTCTCTCTCTATCCCTGCCTGTTCTACTCCAGGATGCCTGTCATCATGGCTGAGAGAGCCCTCCAGGAGACACAGCCCTCAACCCAGCAAGCGCTAACTGAGGGTCCCCTGCAAATAGATGTGAGATCCCCCGCGACGAGATCGAACGTCTAACTGACGCGATCGGCAGGAGAATGACACCCGGGATGCTGACTCTGGCTACAATGAGTCGTGAGTTTTGTTCGCGGATTGATTGGTCAGCTTCTAATCGGGCAGTAGTTTTTCCTCTGGGGACTACTTGTCGTCCATCAGCTCCAGCGTCGTAAACTACAAGTACGTCGACCCCTGCAAGCGCTATTCGACCCATGTCTAACAGGCTACGCGTGAGTGGGCAGATACGAGGTGCGCGATACCGGAGTCGATCACCTGCAGGGTGCTAATCGTGCTGATCTCATGCTAACGGACGATAGAATGGCCGTCGTTATCACGCCTTCAAGGAAGGAGCATATCTAGCGGTATTCCACGATCAACGATCAACCGTCAACGATGCAAGTGTCAGTCACTGACCCTGCCAGCCAAACGATGAACAAGAGCAGGAGCGCATGGACCTGGTCCATCACATCTACCGTCTACTCCTTGGAGGACGGCTCCATCTCGCGCCCATCAAGCCAAATCCTCAGCGAGTCCTGGACCTCGGCACCGGTACTGGCATCTGGGCGATGGACTTTGCCGAGTGAGGAGCCTTCTCGTACCAACTTGACACGCAACTGATGACTGTTCCAGCGAATATCCATCTACGGAAGTTCTTGGTACAGATTTGAGTCCGATTCAACCGAAATGGTAGCGCAGAATATCCATATTCTCCTTACCGCCATGCTGACAAAACAGGGTCCCACCAAACTGCCTGTTTGAAGTCGACGACTACGAGTCCGAATGGGTGTATTCCCGCCCCTTTGACTTCATCCACGCGCGGGAACTTGAGGGCTGTATCGCCGACGACGACCGGCTCTTCCAGCAAGCGTTCCGCCATCTGAAGTCAGGGGGATATATCGAGCTGCAGGCTGTGAGCCCGTACTTGGTTTCTGACGACGACACGGCCGAAAAAGCGAAGACCGTTCAGCTCTGGGTGAAGACGCTCCGTGAAGGAGGGAAACGATTCGGCAAGCCGTTCGACAACGTCGACAAGTGGAAGAGCAAGTTGGAGAAGGCAGGATTCGTCGATGTGAAGGAGACGATATACAAGGTGTGTCGTTAACGAGAAAACAAGTCTTTGGATGAGAACGACGCTAAGTCATAGGATGTGTGCAGCTGCCAATCGGCACCTGGCCCAAGCATCCCGGTCTCAAGGAGATCGGCAAGTACCAGTTCATCGGCGAGCTGCAGGCGGTCGAGACCTACACGCCGGCACTGTTCTCGCGCGTCCTGGGCTGGAGCCACGAGGAGATCAAGGCGCTGATCGCCAAGGTGAAGAAGGAGCTGACCGATCCGGGGTTGCATCTGTATCTTCCGACTCATTTCATCTACGGGCGGAAGCCGTAGCGGATATTTTTTTTCATTGCTTGCTGCGCTACAAACGGTATTTATATATTTTCTTTTTCCGTATTTTTTTTCCTTTTTTTTATTTTTCAAGAAGCGATGAACTCCTAAATATAGAACATGCGCAAAGTACAAAGTTCTTTTCTGTTCAAGTTCTTCCTGGTTTTCGAGAAAGATTTCTGCTAAAGTTTAGGCAACTTTATGTTGGAGAACCCGCGGTTATGGTGTCGAGAGGCAGTACCAGACTACATGGGAGCTGATATAAAATCACTAATCCAGCTCTTGTTGTCTTGCCACCGAATACCCAATGCTGTTGAGCCAACTACTACTTTCGCTCTCTCCTTCACCTATTCTCCTCTGCCATGGTCCATTGCTCCAAATACAGATGCTAGCTACCATTTCGCTTTGTTTGATTCCGTCTCCAAACAAAGAAAATAGATGGCAGCAGCCCTTTTTGCCGACACGTTAGCACGGGGCAGATGCATTATTGACCAAACTTTGGCAGCAGATCTTTGTCTGGGTGAGAGCCATTTGTATAACTCTCCCACCTTTCAACCTTTCCCAACACCAGAGAAGCAGGGAAACAGGCTACAATACATCCTCTCCAAACATGCCACGCAAAGCAAGAGGCATGCTTGTCATAGCCCACAAGTGAAGACAGTGAAGCTGACTGTGCAACAGGAAAGCGCACTGCGAGGCCACAAGCAGCAACAACTCAAAAACCAACCATGACAAGCGCCGTCAAGAGTCAAAAGACAAAGACTCTGAAACAACCCATCAGAAGAAGTGCTCGGCTGATGGAGAAAGATGCCCTCCAAAGGCAGACGGTATGTCAGTTAAAAGCGCACTGTCTCCGTCGCTTCAGATCCATAATAATAATTCTCCCTAGAAGACCCAGCAGATTCCAGCACAAGCAGGCTCTACCAGCCAGAAACAAGCGGGTGAGTCAGAGGGTATCTCGGAGAAAAATCTCTCAAGAGCGAAAAGATTAGATGCGACAAGTGCCCTGGAACATTGGGTCCAAGAGCACACGTGGCCGGAGGGATTCGGCTTCTCAGTCTGCACTAGGAGCATGTCTGGCTATCGTTCTACCTACCCCGGTAGCGATCTCAAATCACCTGGTCGCACTGAATCGGCGTACCGGAACGCACGCTATGAACTGCACCTCGAACAGGAGCGAGTCTACATGACACTGGACGCATGCGGCATCAACGACAGGAGCAAGGAGTGGTGTCGACGACTGGCGACGACGCAGCATGAAGTGCCGCCGCGCACACTGTTCCGAGACGACTTGTTTGCGTCGACGATTGAGAGAACCAGCGGCAACGAAATCTCCCTTCTTAGGCTGATTGGAGACTTGATTGTCCCCTCAGCCGTCTCGGAATCCGCCTTCAGAGGCTTCGAATTTACTCGATTTGCCGAAGCCTTTCAGGAGACATGGGTGGATTGCAAGCCTCTCCAATATCCACCCCCGCCACGCCCGGACTATGCGCTGGGATTTCCACCCTCTGCCTTCTCGGAGCACCATCGGCAGAGGCTCGCCCCTCTTCTGGGCGGCGTTGAGGACCCATCGGAGCTCAAGGCCACGCCGCGCCTGTACTTCCCGTTTTTAGCCTGCGAGGCCAAACGGCTCGGCGGCGACCTGAAGGTGGCAGATCGGCAGAACATGCACAGCATGACGCTGGGCGTGAGGGCGGTCGTGACGCTGTTCCAACGCGCCGAGCTCGCCAAGGAGCTCGACCGAGAGGTCCTCGCCTTCTCGATCTCGCATGACTCTCAAATAGCGAAAAATCTACGGACACTACGCAGTGATCGATGGAGACAACAATGGGCACGTTTGCTACTATCGTTATCCCATCAAGGACGTCTACTTTCACTCCCCTGAGCAGAGGTGGACAACGTACATGTTCGCCATCAGCGTATACCGCGACTGGGTGCCGGAGCATTTCAAGCGGCTGTGTTCGGCGATCGAGAAACTAGATTTGCCCGGCAGATGCAGGGACGAACGGGACAAGTCTGAGTAGAGCTAGGAATACGACGTTATTATTATTGTTTTTTTTTTTGCTACTTTGTGCGATTTCATTAAGCGCTAATGTTAGTTAGCCAAAAGATTCAACTGATAGAAAAAAAAAAACTGGTACGCCAATAGGCCTTACTAACCAATCTTGGTGGATCAAAAACTGTTTCTTGATAATTACTAATGGAATTGGATTTCATCTCACTCTCACTTCAGGCATTAGTCTCGGTCAGTAGTTTCTTTCAGCGAGCAACGCAGGAGAAGTAGGGTAATTAAACGGGCTAGAGCTATCAAAGTTGACGCCTGCCATTGGAACAGCCATGCGTGGCGTGTATAAGATTTCAAATCCTTCCTTCGCCGCTGCAAAGGATTCATCATAACTTTCGATGTATGGAACTCATAAATCATCCTATTCTACCGGAAATGGTAGACTCTAGATGAGTTCTATCTCCGCGTTGCGATTCCTTTCCCGTCATATGTCCCCTGCCATCGTTTCCGATACGTTTTAATTGTCTTGGACCTGTGTTGCGGCCAGGTGATCCTAAGACACAGCTTGGCAGTCCTTCTCGCTGGCATTTGCGTTTTCGATTTCTACTGTGGCAATTAGATACTAGCCAAACTGCCCAGTTGTCCACCAGAGTATACCCGTAGGGTTAACTAGTTAGGTCGATGGATCCCACGCTCCAGATCTGGGGAGAAAGAGGCATAACTGTCTGTCATCAAGAACACGTCTACATGCTAGGTCGCACAACCGATCCCTATTGCAATCGCATATATTTAATTAAAGTGCAGCAGACTTCCTCGTCCTCCTATCGACATCATCTCTCCTCTTTCTATCCTTTGCAGCCTCGATCACCCCCTTCATATCAACTGCGAGATTCTGCATTCCCCGGATCTTCTGACGCTCGCTGCTGCTGGCGGTGGCAAGAGTCCGAAAGAACGGATCGGTCTCGCGGCAGGTTTCTGAGTCGTTCTCGAAGAGCCGCCGGATGTTGGCCTGCGTCGTGGGGTCGACGACCTTGAGGAAGATATCGCGGCGCAGCTCGGCGTATTTGTCGAGGACCGTGTCGGGTACGTCGTTGTTGAGAACGGCAATCAGGCAGTCGCTCAGGGCGCCAGCATCGAGCAGGCCTCCGGTCAGACCTAGGCTGTATTGCATTAGTTATCTGCGGGGTTGAACTGCAGAACTGTAAACTCACCCCCCAAACGGATTACACACATGAGCTGCGTCTCCTGCCAGCAGCACACGGCCCACGCGGAAGGTGGTGCTGCAGCGTTGGTGGATGCGATAAGGCGAGAACATCTTCAGATCGTACTTCAGCGGACGTGGGCCTGGAAACAGGGCCTCATACTTCATCTTCAACCGTTCGCGCAGCTGCTCCGTCGTCAGGTTCCTTTCTTCGCCGTACGAGACGCGCCAGAGGCCTTGGTTGTTGAGCTTGGCGATCACGGCGAAGTGGTCGGGATGGCTGGGTTGTCAGTATAATCAAGGAAGCGAGAACGGTCTGGAGAAAGGGCACGACATACACAATGTTATTCCCCGTTGTATAGCCGTATTTGTCGAACGGATACACCACGTTGGTCGCCACAATCTGTCGGTCCCAGGTGAAGCCTTCGAAGGGGATATTCAAATGCCGTCGTACGAAGCTCCTCGCGCCATCTGCACCAACGACATACTGGGCCCGGAATCTGTGCTCGCGCTTCTCCTCGCCCACTTCCGCTGTCACCGTCACGCCCTCCTCGTCCTGCTCAATCTTGACCGCACGATGGCTGAAGAGGACCCTGGCGAGCGTCTCCTCAGCGGAATTCTCCTGCTGGAAGGCTCTCTGAATCACCTCCGCCAGCTCGTGCTGTCCCAGGATCAGGTTCTCGTACGGCTCCTCTTCGTTCGGGATCCGGTCCAGCTCGACGATAACCTCGCCGTTGATCTTGCGCCACGCCAGCTTCGTGCCAGACGTGCCGATGGAGCGACACTCGTCGAGGATGCCGGCACGGTCGAGCTCGCGTACTGCGACGGGCATGTACACCGCTGCGCGGGGAGAGTTTTCGACTGCTGGCAACATCTCGAGTACGGTTGTTGGGATGCCAGCGCGTACGAGGCGCAACCCTACGAGGAGACCGACAGGACCGGCGCCGATCTATTGCATTCGAGCATTAGGCATGAATCACTCCTATGAGGAAAATGGAGATGGAATTGACTGTATCGTACCACAATGACTGATGCTTTGGTGTCAATTTCGTCTGCTGACATGGTGGCTTATATCCTTGCTGGAGCAACCGGTGGACGTAAGTGGATATGTGATTGCATAGGTGAGATGATTTCCAAAACGTCGTTTTCCAGTTCGGTCAAATTCGTCTAATGGAATATCCTTTCTTTCGATATTCCCCATGGCAAGCACTAATTTATTTTCTCGAGCTGGAAAAACGGCACAAAGCCACGCGAATGCGGGGCCGTGAAAGCCTCCTTATCGATTGCACGAGAATCGACGGCCTAAAACTGGTCGAGAATTGACCATCTTGTGGAGAGGTTTATGATCAGGTGGGGAACTTGGTAGGAGCAATCGATGGTTATCGTGGACCCCACATCAATCAGCTTTTGGACGCGATTAACGTAGTTAATGGTCAAACCGGGAGAGATTGACAAGGAAGTAAAGAGACGAGAGGAAGGAGAGGGAGGGGGAGGGCATCCTCTGGGCCGGTTATAATAACAACAATGTGTGTATGTCCTTTGATGGACAGCATTTCTCGATCAGACCGTAGCATAGTTTAATGCAATGAATTCAGACCCACCTATCACTATTAGAAAATCTCGACTTTACCACTTCTCTATTCTTTTTAGCCTTTCTTACCGACTTGTTACCAACCACGGCTACTGCAATGTACTTACACTTGCGAACCCTTATGGCGCAGGCTGATGCGAGAACGGGATCTGATTATTCTGATCCCTTCGTGTCAGGCTCATTAGCACGCGTCCGGTGAAGATACTGCTGCCTGCCTGCTAGCGGTGGACTTCTCGAAGCCAGAAGTGGAATCACGTCTGCTTCCTGAACAACAGCCGCGGCAGCAGCCAGCCTAGTGGGAAAAGCCTGTTCGTCAACGTAGTAGTAGACATCGACATGGCCTTGGATTAGGGTCAGAACCGAATCAGGATCGACTTTCGATCAGCAGATTGCAGAAAGGGAGTGGTAGCATTGTGAAGCCTTTTCTGTGAAAGATTAACCTGTGCACTTAGCAGTATGAACGATTGATGGGGAGGAATGGGAGTTGATCTGTCGCATATCATGTGGATGTGTAAGCATAACAATCTGTCAAACAAGCTGGGGCACAAAAGAAAAACCTAGGTTACCTAGTAAACCCCTAGTATGATTGATAGCTGCCGGTTGACACAATCTTAGGACCCTCTCACTTGCAAAATCCCATGTATTTAGCTGATAATATTATTATACTTTTCATACATGCATGGATGACAAATTAAAGAGACCTCAAGATTAGCCGAAGCTTGGATTCTTTCTGAGAAAAGCTGAGGCGAGGTGCTCTAGGCAAGCACCGGCCCTACCTGCTCCAACACTAAGGCATTGAAAGATGCGACAGGGGAGCATGTGTCATGGGACAAGTAAGATGATGCTTATGGTAACCATTATATTGCTGCCGAGCTGTGAAAATATATATTTCGACAGGTCGGAACTAAAACTCAATCACAAAAATCCATGTACGAAGGATATTGATCATCAACTATGCAATTCTTTTCCATCACATGACTTCTCACGTGTCAGTATGTATGCTGGAATATCTACTTCCAATACAACAGCAATCAATGGCCATTGCAGCGATGTCGATATCCCTGGTCGACTGCATCTTATCTGATCCACTGGATCCCCTTAGATAGCCCACGCGGGGTACTTGCATATCGCAGCCAATCGAATGATGCGCTGGACACCAACATCTGCCATTGCAACCCTGCCTAGAGGTCCGGATTCCGAATTGCCCCAGATACAAGATGCACGATGACTAAGATAAGATTATCAGCTTGTATCACGTTGATCGATTGTGAATCCCACAATTGACTTCCTTCGAACTCGCTCTCATACCGTGTCTTCGACTTGAAGCCTGCTCCTTAAGACTCAACTTCTACCATCCGTCAATCATCACCATCGCTCGCTCCGCAATGTCCGAACAGCCCCTCTTCCCCCACCCCCGCCGCGTCGTCACCGGCCACGACGAGCATGGCAACTCCATCTTCGTCGCCGACAGCGAGGTGCCGTGTGTCCCGACGCCTGCCAACTGCAATTTCGCCGTCTTGTACGAGACGCACCAGTTCCCGGCGTCGAACGACGGATGGGAGGACCCGATCCTGAACAAGACGAAGTCGCTGGCCAATCCGAATGGGCTTGTGTTGCGAGTGGTGGATTTCAAGCCGAATACGAAGACGGTGAGCCTGCCCAGAAGTCCGGCTTATCTGGCGTATCGCTGACGAGGTGCTTGTTCCAGGCGTTCCACCGTACTGAATCGTTGGACTTTGGCATCGTCATTGAGGGAGAGATCGTTTGGTATGTCACTTTCCGTTGAAGGAAATTACTAGTCGTTGCTGCTGGTCCTGCTCTGCTAACGAAGCAGCTACCTCGACAACGGCGCCGAACGGACCTTTAAGCGAGGCGATGTCTGTGTCCAGCGCGGCACGATCCACGGGTGGGAGAACAGGACGGACAAACCGGCTAGAGTGTATTTCGTGCTGTCTGGTAGGTCACGTCTGCTTGTATCTTAAATAAAATATGGTGATTTCTCGGAAGTATTGATGGATGCTGACATCTCTCTAGCGGCGAAACCAGTCAAGATCGGCGACAAGGTCTTAGGAAATGCCGGTTTTGAGGACAAAGATGTTGAATCGGGTGGGAAATAGCCTGGTATGGATCACAGTTAAGAAGACTTGAAATAGCTCTTGAGATAGTTATAGGTTTTATCTATAGTAGTAAGGCAATATATCAATGTCCTTATCAAGCTTACCTGACTCTTAGAGGTGTATACAGACAGTATATATGATGAATGATGTGAAAACTAGCAGTAACACTGACAGTGACACTTTTCAACATCTATTGTTAAACTGTGGAAGAGGATAGAGAGGATAAATAGCAAGACATGAGATACAACTTAAGACTTTTCCTTTGTTTTTCCTTTCTACTCTCTTTCTCCCCCCCCCCCCCCCAATACCTTCTTAACTGCATTGGAAATTATCTAGTCATAAGACCTGAGATTAGCTCAGGTTCCAAAGTGTTGAAGAGAACAAGCACAATAAAATGGTTTATTCTTACAGATAAGAAATACAATTCTGATACTAGTAAATCTAGAATTAACAGATATAATAAAACAAAGGCCGGACTCTATTCCAAAACAACTATACTTACAATAGTTATTTGGGCCCGTGCCACCTTGCTTAGTCATCAATATTGTTGACTGAGCATGCTGACCGGCCTTATGGAATAGCAATTTGCTCTCAACAAAAGGTATGAAAGGCTTACAGGAGATAGAGCAGTAGGATGGTCTAGCAAATCTAGAAAAGCATACCAAGAGAATACAATTTAGCATGACAAAGAATTGGTAGAATCTTGGCACTTAAAATGACAAAAGCTGCAACTTTTATAGAACGAATTCCTGACTTCAACATGAATTATAAGCCCAACATTGAGTTATTTTTTTAAAAAAAATAAATAAAACTTATATAGATGTAACGGTATAAATATAGGTATACTAGGTTAAAATTTGAAAAATAACCAAATTTTAAACTTATACAGTAATTTAAGAACAAAGGCTTTTTTAATTTTTTGAAAAGACATATTTTTTACAGCATTATCTCCAGAGCTTTTTCTTTTTAAAAAATCTTTTTCTAGAATATCTCAATTATTACTTCATAATTCATGTTTAAAGTCAGGAATTTATTACAAATCTGGCAGTTCGTCATGATTTTAAGTGCTAAGATTCTACCAATCACCCAACAATTCCGTCGCAAGACTCGTCTAGCCTAAACGCAGAGCCATAGGGCATGGAAAATGGATCTTCCATCAGATGAGCATAATCAGAAGCAGGCATGGTCGCTGCAAGCAATGCTGTTGTCTGGTTTTATTGCATGCAACCAGCGGAGATCAACATACGACCAGACTGCCATGATTAATTAAAATGAGTCATAGCGATTCTAGTGGTGACGCTATTTTGGCCTAGAGATAAGGTAGGTCGCAGTTAGCTCTGGGAGCTACTCTGCTGGACATGATCAACATTCATTTAGTGGTATGCGCAGTAAACTCCTCTTCCTTGAATCCTCCGTAATGGCTTCCCGGCTTCTCAAACGGCTAAGCATTGACAGCCCCTCTTCGTCAGAAAAATCAGTCGTCACAAAACCCATCTGATCGGCCTCGACGAGTCGACATGCGAAGTGGACGGGCGGCGCTCGAACTGGGCGAAAATGCCCATCCCCGCGCCGGGCCAGGACCGCGAGCTGCCTCCCAACCCACGGGCTCAAAGCCGCTTCTTCGCTCGACTACCACCCGAGATCCGGCGCCAGATCTATCTGCACCTCTTCGGCGACCGTCGCGTGCATGTCGAATTCGACATTGGGACGGTCTACCATCACAAGCTGGGCATGGAGTTCGAAGAAAGGCGCGAGAAGTGGCGGTGGTGGCAGCAGTGAACAGGTGGAATTCTATCCATTATGCTTGGACTTTCGCTGCTGTTGGCATGCAGACGACAGGGTTCGTGCAAAGGCCAAAAGGGAGAAGAAGCCGCTGCGCCAGTTCAAGCCATGGACAGACTCGAAACTGGGCGGATGGAGCTGGTTGAGATGCTGCCGGAAAGCGTATTGATTTGTCTCCTTTCATTCTGGTCACTTGCATGGTTCAAAAACAGAGCTACAGATACAAAGAGTCCCTCAACATTCTCTACGGCAGCAACACCTTCGTTCTCGCCAGAAAAGAGGTAATGGTCTTTCGACTCGCCAAGCTGTGGCCAGCGAGCCATCGCGCACTCGTCACGTCCACGGATATCCTGCTGCCATTATGGCTCAAATGCATCAATCCGGTGCCAGAGGATATCTACAGCGCGTTTTTCGGACTCCTGCAAGGCGACGTCTACCCGAACCTGCGCAAGCTCCGCAACATGCTCAGAATGATTCCTCGTACCGTATCGTTCGAGCTTCGCGCTCCGTCTCCCTTGACCGAAGAACAGGAGGACTCGTGGGTCCGGCCGTGGGAGGAACTAGCTACCAGCCGCGCGCACTGGGAGAGATTGGAGATTATTGTCCCGGACAGTTGGAAGCCAGACTTTGAGAAGGCGCTCAAGAGAAGGGCCAGGCTGGACGGGAGTGATTTGAAACTTAGGGCGCAGAGTTTCCTATAGCTATGGCTGATGATGACATGCGATGCTGATCTCAGAGGTCGGAATAGAGGAATGAATTTCACTACTGCGTGCTCTAAAACTTCCTTTCAACCGCTTCCTTCTTGATATTCGAGCAGATAACTGTTCTTTTCTACTTTTATATTTGCAGCCTTTTAGAAGCTGATTAGCATGTAGTCTTTATATAAACCGAAAAGTCACACACTATCAAGATGTTGGGGTCAAGAGTAGGAATATCCCTTAAATCAGCTTTGTTAAACAATCATATCATGTCATTACCTACATCATGCAACTCCACTTCTTGCCATCCTAATTCTCGATAATTCGATGCCCCCGTGGCAGCCGGGTCTCGTACTCCAGCACCAGTCGGACCTCTTTTCCCCCCAGCTGCGAGATCTGCCACTTCACCTCGCCGTCCTTCTCGAACGAGGCCACGCCCTCGCCCCATTGCCCGTCTAGATGAGTCTGATCACCCTCCTGCTCTAGGCCCTTCGGCTCGAGGATGTTCACGCGCAGCTTCTCGTCCTGACTCACGGGGACCTGGTCCATGGCGGAGATCGACACCGCGGTCGTCTTGGTGTTCTTGATCCAGCATGCCCGGGTGAACACCGCAGAGTCCTCCTTGGTGAGGAGTCCCGCTGTCGCCCGTCGGACCGTCGGAGGGCCGTATGCTACGAGAATGGAGGGATCCACGCTCAGCGACAGATTGCAGACATTGCCCGGGGCACAGGCAGCGAAGGGGACCGTCCCCAGGAAGGTGTTCTGCATCTTCGCCGTCAGGAAGGCCGCCGGACGCAGTTTGGGAATCAGGACGTGCGACAGAGTCACCGTCGCCAGGTCCAGCTCCGCCAGGATGTGTCTGCGCGGGACGCTGGATGGGATCAGGGTGCGTTGGCCAGGCAGCTCGTACGTCGTGGTCAGGCCGTAGTCTTGTCGGACAGAGCTTTCATGTCCCAGGGCTGGGGGAAGGGTCATGGTCGCGCTGTCTTCTTCTTCCTCGTCCTCTTCTTCGATCTTGTTCGCATTGGTGCTCGTCAGTATCTTGCGAGGCGCCTTGCCACTGAATCTGCGTCCTATTTGTTTTGTTCTGATTCTCTTGACCCCAGTTGCTTCCTCTTCAGCGGAGACATGAGGGCGCTTTTGGCCCTGTTTGACACTGATCTCCGTCTTGCTCTCTAGGACACTGTTCCACCCTCCTGTGTCGTCGCTTTCTGTACTCCCTAGCTTGACGTGCCAGGCCTGTAGCGCTGGCACACGCTCGTCCAGGCGTGTCAGACATGATGTTGCTACTGTCTGGAATCTGCCTGTATAGGAATGGTAAGAAGAGGAGAAAGAAAGCAGGGAATGCATGTTAGTTAGGGCTTATATACCCTCCCGCAGGCCGCTCGTCTAGCCGCATGGCCAACAGAGGCGTAGATTAACCCCCCAATGCAGTATTCTGAGTGGATGCATTGCAGTTGGGCTAAGCTAGTGAGAGACTGCGTATGCCAGTCATATCTTTATTCTGCATTGTTTACAGGCCCATGACTCATGTGAGAAGCAATCAAGTTGGGTTGCGCGTATCATTCCGAAGATATACAGACAGGTACAGAATCCAATTGATAGTGCATAACATTGTTCTTACCAAGTGCAAGTTCTTTGAAGAGTACTATCTATCCCAGACAGCTGTGTTGATTATATGGTACCATACAAACTTTCCTCTCTCCATGAGTTTCTGCCATGCTTAGGATAGAATCATGATGCAAAAGCATATGAAAATTATAAACTCTGTAGATATATAATAGATCATTAAATTTTTTTTGTAGATATACGATTGTTGTAAACATATGTACCTTTCACGTTGCAGAATGAGATGTCAAGATATCGCGCACAGATCCTAACCAAAGGATTAGGGCCATTAATTTAGGAATATAAAATAAAAGAATGTCTCCTTCATAAAGAACCCCCCTCCTCAAGAAGGTCAAAAAATGGAGGACAAAAAAATGACTAAGAAAACTCACCCAGTTGATCATCTCCGCTGCATCCATCCACCTTTGAATTTCACCCTCCTGAAACATGGCCAAGTCGTTGCAAGGGGCAGCCTGGCCCAGACTTGAAAGTTCTGACGAATCCTGTGCATTGTCCTGGCTTGGAATCGCGGGCAATGGTTGAGCGTTCGATGCTAGATGCTAGTGTTAGAGGACAAAATGTATGTACGTAAAAAACTGAGATAACGCACTTTGCAAGATGTCAGAATTATTTACTTGCGCTGAAGATGGGTCCTTCCGGTCCAGCTTCTTCAGCATGATGCTGAGTGTGCGGTATGCGCTCAACGCCTCGGCGGACTGGCTGCTCGATTCGCGCCAGCTGGCGTGTGATTCTTCGAGCTCCTGCAGCAGCTCGTCTTCCGTGAGAGAGGAGGTCGTCTGCTCGATCTGATCACGACAGCGCTGCCGATGATCAATGTCCAGACAAAGGATCATCGCGGCTAGCAGGAAATCGTGGCTGCTGAGAGCGGATACTAGCCACTTGTCCTCATGCAGCAAGCCGTCTGGTTTTGTCTCGGCGTGGATCACAGCTTGATGCCGAAGGATCTTCCATGCTGCTTCGAGGCAGGCGGTTCGAGAGTAAGAGTACCGTGGCTCGGACCAGGCCAGGATCAGGTATTTGCGGTGCAGGATACAGACAGTCTTGAGGAACAGGAGGTCCAGATTGAATCGCTGCATGATCAGATGGTGCGGGTCGAGGATTGAACTCCGAACAGGTCGCATCTGCAACGGCGGCGGCATGGAGGCATACGTGTCTCGCAACTGCCGGTCCTAGCGCATGATCTCGTCATAGCTCACGGGGCGAACCGAGCCGGTCAGGTCTGAGATATGCCCATACACAGCGGCGAGCTTGGTTTTGATGATGGTATAGGAGACGCCGGTGAGCTCGTTGGCAGGTCGCCCCGCGGGCATCACAGACGTGTTTTTATCAAAGTCTTGGTCGTGGAGATTGGCCGGGGGCTCGGTGTCTACCTGGGAGAGCTTGGTCATAAAAGGCTGGCCCACTTGCCCTGACCCCAGAATATCCAGAGGCATCAACACAGCCCACACGCGACGACGCATCTCGGCGTCAAAGGCGGAAATCCGACCCGGGTAGTGGCTGGGATCGCGGTGGTAGCCCATGCGGAAGGCGAGTCTGACAACCATCCCAAAGACCAGCCACAGCCCGAATTGCGTGTCGTTGCTGCGGAAGTACTCCGAGGAAAGATACAGCAGGAGCGTTTCGATCGTGTAGGGCGGACTTTGCGTATAGTCAGCCAGCTTCAGGCATTGGACCGCCCGGTGGCGGAAAAGGAGGATGCTTTCTTCAGGATCAGCCTCGGAGTCGAGCACTCGACGTCCAGCACGCATCGAATACAGCGTCGCCAGACACATGATGCAGAATAACAGCCCAAGCCACATGACGGGTGTGGTCTGCTGGTTTTCCCAGAATTGTTCATACTGATACATGTCAGCGTCTAGATTTGAAGTCGTTTACCTAGCCTACCTCGACTTGGAAGGTCGGCGTATGGATAATGACTCCACAAGTCAGCCGCTAGCAGCACTGCAGATCACTAAACCGACTACCTACCAGATAGTCCATCCACAAAGCTGAAGTAACGAGATACCAGTCGATCAACGATGGGTCGCGGGGGTATCGAACTGAGAATCTCTGCTTTGGTAGGAAGGTACGAATCGCTGCGAAGAAGCTCGGGGCCAAACTGGTTGTCATTCGTCGGTCCATGCTGTCGCTCGAGCTCGCTATTGCTCTCGAGGAATTCTTTCACTTCTGCGATCTGCATCTATCAGCGCGCGATCAGATATGAATGGATGGGATGGACAACATTATCCAGAATTGCCGCCCAGTGATTCGGTGAGACATATATCGTCTCTGCGTCGCCGATCTTCATACGTCCGATGGACTCGCTGACTTCTTTGCCTGCCCCTGCTTGGTGGGAAGCAACAGCGGGAGGAGTCGACAGAACAGGATCTTCCTGACCATTCCCCCGCTGATCGCGAGCTACTACATCTTGGCTGTTCCGATTCTCCACCAGAGACCGGATCAGCTGCTCCAGGTCATGGATACGTCTGCGCATGTGGACGATATCCGAATCAGCTGGGCCATCCGACTTCATAAAGCGGCAGGACGATGCCAGACCGCGTCTGACGCAGTTACCACATGGATGATTCCGGTCGCATCGCAATCTAAATCCAGTCAGGACACAGAAAGTGAAGAGCTGATTGAAAACTCACTTCTTCTGACGGCAGAAACTGCAAGAGAGCTGCAGCCGTTCCTTTCTTTTCGGCAGAGACGCCATGTCGTATGAGCTCCGGAGATGGCTGTCAATTCCGATACAAGCAATCCCAGTCTATGACGCAGTTGCAACAGCATTCGTTTGGATGCATCGAACGCTGGAGTGGGCTGGGTGCGCAGCGGTGATAATGACGAAATCCGGTACCGGAGATACCGGGGTAATTTTGAATCGCGGTGGAAGAGCTCGGTATTATTTGTAATGTATGGTAATGAGATATAACCCAGTAAGGCTAGAATGAGGCATCAGCATTACCTACCTCTGTTGAACTATTCTGGTAATTACTACAAGAGTGAAAGCGTGCTCTAGCTGAGAGTTGCCTGTGTTTCACAAATACAACGTACCCAAGGTATGAAATAGCATGAGATAGCCCGGGTTGGTTGTTGCGACTCCATATATATTCATTTCATGTGACATGTGAATGCAGGCAGGTAGATGTAGAAGTACAACAGCTAATTCAGACGACACGGTTTTTGTTTCTTCTCGTTATTTATTCTTATGTTCTTCTTCATTTTTATTTTCCTCTTTTTTTTTTTCGCTTATTTCGATTTATCGAATAATGATATAATACGCCTTTCGGAGAAAGCACTGATCTCCGAAGCTATTACAGATATAGACGGCGCTGATGGGGAGTGGATACTAGTAACAGCGCCAGCTCTGGTTGCCTAGTTTACATTGAGAGAAGACGGATATATATTGCACACTTCTAGAATGCTGTTCTGCAGTTGCCATCTGGTTAGACTGATTTTTCTTACGGCATTTGTCGATAATTAGCTACCAACCTGAAGTATATAAATCGCTTTTCCTGCGCAATTCATCTGATTGACCCCAAACAAAAAGCCTTTCATACTCCCAATTGATATTGACGCACCACTAATCATTGAATAATTGCCTGTCTATTAACATGTCGACTCTCAGCCAGGTATTTCCCTGTCCTCCAACCTTCACCGAACACAATCTCCCCGATCTATCCGGCAAGGTACGTACGAACAAGCAAACCGCAGCAATAGCAACAAGTGGATTCAATTTTTAATTCGTTCTGAATTTTATTTCTTAGGTATTCATCGTCACCGGCTCCGCAGTCGGAGTAGGATACGAACTGGCCAAGATCCTCTACGAGAAGAACGGGACGGTGTACATCGCGACGCGGTCAGAGGAGAAGATCTCCCGGGCCATCGCCTCCATCCGGCAGGAGCATCCAAACAGTCGAGGGCGGCTCGTGCCGCTGATCGTCGATCTGGCAGATTTGACGACCATCAGGCCGGCAGCAAGGACGTTTCTGGAGCAGGAAAGTCGGCTCGATGTGTTGGTGCACAATGCAGGTGTGATGAGGCCGCCGGCGGGGAGCAAGTCGAAGCAGGTAGATTTTCCTTCGTATACAATAGAGCCTCGTTCTTTTCCAATATCGACTAGAGCTAACGCTTGCAGGGCCACGATCTCGAAATGGCTACCAACTGCCTCGGCCCCTTCCTGCTGAACCACCACCTGCAGCACATCCTCCTGCAAACGGCCCATCAGGCCGCACATCCCGGCAGCGTTCGCATCGTCTGGGTGTCATCGCTGCTAGGCGTCGGCACCATCAAGGGCGGTATGAGTTTTGACCCTGAGACAGGCAGTCCGAAGATCCCGTCGGACCCGATGAGCAACTACATGCAGTCGAAGGTCGGAAATGTCTTTCTGGCGCACGAGTGTGCGAAGAGGTTGGGAGGGGAGGGGATTTTGAGTATGGTAGGAGCATATTCCCTTTTAGTAGGGCAATGTCTGCATATACATTACAGTACTAACGTCGCCTTAGAGCGTCCATCCAGGCCTGATGAAGACAGAGCTGCAGCGACATATGAATCCGATGGTGGGCAAAATAATGGTATGACGAAAAAAAAAAAGGGAACTTTTTTTAAAAAAAATTCATTTTCTAATTAAGCGACAGCACCTCATCCTCAAACCCGCCAAATACGGCGCCTACAGCGAGCTTTACGCCGGATTCTCGCCCGATGTCACGCTCGAACACAACGGCGGATTGATCATCCCCTGGGGACGTCACGGCACGATTCCGGAGGATATTGCAAGAGGACTGAAATCGACAGGTGAAGGGGGCATGGGGCTCTCGCAGCGGTTTTGGGATTGGTGTGTTAGGGAGACGAGGAGGTATCAGTAGGTTAGTTTAGTATGTATACAGTACGTGTACTGTACATGGAGTATAATATATGGATGTAGAGTACCATACCAGTCATTGTGTTCAGATTCCTTTACTCTTAACTCAGTGTGTACTAGCAGGATAGTTTCCAGCCATGGGCAGAATGAGGTGTAGAATATAGTATAAATACATATGTACAGTACACACACTGTACTGAGATACCAGTAACTAACGTGCCCAGTGCAGGCCTGTACTGTTCAGCCTAAAACTGGAAATATTAGGCTAAGCTGCAGATAGCAGATAAACTAGATAATACCGCCGAAATTTTCCCTTCCAGATCCAGTCTGCAGTCGATGCATTTCCTTTTCCTATCTGGGTAAGTTATTTGCACTAATCATTCAAGCCAAGACCAACAACATTTCATGCACCTATCTACCAGATACTACTACTTCCCACTAAGTAAGACAGCTAATAACAGCTAACAGCGTCCAGAGGACGGACTCACGAGACTAGACATCTTGGCGATGGTCTAGCTGGGTTATTAGTTCCAACGGTCTTTGTTTCCTCTAGCTGTGTTTTCGAGTATCCTCCCTTCTCCCTTCTCTCATGCTGTATGCGAAGTATTATATTCTACTTGCTCTTATCTGACATCAACCCAGAAGCAAACAGGTATCCCCTTACTCTGTATAAGATCCAAACTGGACAGCGCTTAACTTTACTTGACTGGATTCATGCCTCATACGGAGTCCTACTTGTTCATACCACTGCCTCTCTTCCTCCTCTGATTTCACGACATCATATACAATCAAATATACTACGTGAGCGATACTTCCAACGTTGATACTGAGTTTTCTTCTGCACGTCACCACTGCAACCGCCACAGCCATGATCCCTCGCGACGACAGCCACCGCGGAGCCGACAGCAAACCTATATCGAGCGGACCCGGGCCCGTCCTCGCCATCGCCCTCAGCGCACCCCTAGGCGGGCTGCTATTCCTCGATCTGGGCATATGGCTGTGCAATCGACAGATTAGCGGGCGGAGGACCGCGGCGGCAGCACCGTCAGCACCATCGCAAGGTGGCGATGCGAATGCGAATTGCAACTACAGAACAGAGCACTGCGGCTGGTCACAGTCTGAGGGAGTATTACGCTCCTGCGCATATGTCTGGTGGGCGGGGAGAATAGGTATGCATATGCAGCTAGCAAGGCGAGTCACGGTTGATGGAATATTAATGTGGATGGCTGCTCTGTCATTGGATGTCTGGCTTGCAGTACAATCCAATACATGAGTGAATGAATAGATCGAATCGATTAATACAAAAAGCAGCATGATAGTCATACAGTCGACATGGATGGAAAGAAAAGTCAGAAAGAATAAACGTTGGCGTTTGCGATTAACTCTATATTGGATCTTGTCCGAATCGTCACCGAGAGATTATTGTCTTGCCTGATCATCAATTATCTATATCTAAAAGGAATCGAATTTAAAACATACACGCTAGCTACCAGTCATGGACATCATCAAACTACCATCAAATTACAATCATCTCACTACTTGTTGTCTCACCACTTATTGTCAAACACCTTCCCGTTGACAATGTTGACCAGCTCCCTCACCGGCGACAGATGCTCGCGGCCCGCGCCAAACTGCATGCCGTGGCGCATCACCTTACGGTAGTTCTTGCCCGGAGACACCTTGCCCAGCACATACTCCTGGCGCGTCTCGACCCGCGTCGGCACCGGAATCGACCGCCCCACGATGGCCTCCATGCCCTGCCAGGCGAACGTGATGGCCTCCTTGGCGCCCGCGGGGATGCCCGCTTCGTCCAGCATCATGATCTTCGTGTTCGGGTAGTGCTGCTGGATGTACTTGGTGATGTTGGGGTTGTAGGCGCCGCCGCCGCACATAAAGATCTCGGCAATCTCCATGTCCTTGGGCGCGTAGCGCTTGTAGTGGTCGACAATGGCCTGCGCTGTGATGCGCGTGACCGTGGCCACGACGTCGTCCGGGCTCAGCCCCTTTGCTTCCGCCTTCTTGATCAACTCGAATGCCAGCGTGTCGCGGAACACCTCGCGTCCGGTCGTCTTGGGCGGGTCCAGTTTGAAGTACTTGTGCTGGAGGAACTCGTCCACCAGCTCCTGGTCCACTTTGCCGCGAGCGCCCATCTCGCCGTCCTTGTCATACTCGCGTTCTCCGTTGGTGTAATATCGCACCACGGCGTCGATGAAGACATTTCCGGGGCCGGTGTCGAAGTCGTAGCACTCGTCGATCCCACCAGCGTTGTCCGGGGGGATGAAGCACACGTTGGCAATGCCACCAATGTTCTGGCAAGCCCGGAGCTTGGTCGGGTGGTGCAGAACCAGGGCATCGAAAAAGGCAATCAACGGAGCACCCTGTCGACCGGCAGCCTGGTCGCTGACACGGAAGTCGGTGACGGTGGTGATCCCCGTGCGCGACGCCAGGATCGAGCCCTCTGCCATGGTCAGGGCGCTCTTCACCTCGCCGGGTTCCGGCATGGACAGCAGCCAGATGGTCTGACCGTGGGAGCCGATAACGTCGATACTGTTGATGTCGACATTGTACTCCTTGCAAAACTCCTTCACTGCGGAGGCGAAGGTCTCTCCCAGAATGACGTTGACTTCAGACAACTCGGATGGAGAGGTCTTGTTGTGCAGGATGATGTTCATGACGCGCTTCTTGATGGTCTGCTCCAGCGGGATTTCGCCATACTAGATTGATGCTGTTAGCTATCATCGCCGGTGAATGACTCAAACGACCTTTTGAAATAAGATACCTTCAAAAGCTCGAATTGCATGGGAGAATCGGGAGTTTCTTGGTGGAAGTGGCACAGCGCGCAGTCAATTGCATCCTACAGTCTCCTAATCAGCCGGGTGATTCCTCTTGCAGAGCATGAACCTCGCTTCACTCACCATCGAGGTTCCACTGTTCAGACCTAGGACCGTCAAGTCCAAGGCCGCGCCGTGGGTGCCATTGGCACCATTGGCAACACCGTTCGTTGCTGCCATTGTGACTGCTTGTCTCGTAGACTGGGGTTCTGGAAAGCACTGAACAGGCCGTTATGCTACACCTGACGCCGATCCGGTCTAGTCAGTAGGCAGAACTGCAAGAGAATTGCAAGTCCTCTCCATCCCGACGAGGAGGAGGTCCCTGGTTAATATATATCTTGCAGAGACGGCGCCGGTGAGTATCCCTGGAATCCCGAAATGCGCGACTCATTGCCCCGGAACGAAGCCGACTCCATCGCGGACAGTTTGGTTTTCGCCTCCGTCGCCCAGTCTTTCGACCGTGCCATGGTCTCACGAGGCCGACGAAGCGATGAAGCGACGAAATGCCCGTCTTGCCGTGTGCGCGGCCCCGGACACCTGCTCCATTGGGCAACGGCGGAGCGGCGGGCAGCGGCGGAACGGCAGAACGGTCATGTGACGGCTAAACGGCTAAGCGGCAAAGCGGCTAAACGCTTCAAGGCGCTTTAGTTCCGCCCTTCGCCCGGGCGCCTAAACGGCTGGCACGGCGGCAGGGCTGGACTGCCAAGCCCTCCGCAGCGAATCTCTCCGCAGAACCACAGGGCTGGGCCCCGTTCCCCGTATTGTTCTGGAGCGTCGAGCCCTCATAAGGCGTCCGCCGGCTCTGTCAGACAGTCAGCAAAACAGTCGAGCGGCAGGTGGCATCACGGACCGATGGCGAGGCTTTCTGGAAGCCCTTGTTCTGTACTGTACATATATCATGGCGCTGTCCTCCCCGGTTGTGATTTCGGATCTTGACTGGTTCTGACTGTCAGGGTCTCGTTTTCAATATACCGGGGAGGATCGTTGTTCTGTTTGTTCTATATA